ATTTTAAAAAAACCCAGACCTATGCATGAATGAGGAGGGATTTGTATTTCTTAAAAAGTTTTTTAATGAGATTTGATATTTTGACTTGATTAATGACAAATGAATTCGCTTGTAGGATTTCTTTGGTTGGATGAATCAGAACAGGCTGTACTTTGCAAGAAAGTCAGAAGATTCCTCAGAGCATGTTCTGGATTTAATACAAAATCCTAAAGAAGTTGTTGTTTATGATTCCTCTTTACAGCGGGATAAAAGTGGTTAGATTTTCTCTCTCTACATACATCTGACACTATAAATGTTAACAACTGTTCTTTAACAAAGCTCTTAACTATTATAATGGTTTTTTTTTGGACTAAAACAAAACAGTGTTGTAAAAAATTTTACATATTGAGTTTATCCCGTACATTTCCTGTGAAGGGTATCTACCATATTTATCCAGAAAATACTTTATTAAGTCTTAAGAAATACTAGGGAACAGAAATCGTTGTTTAGTTATATTAAGAATGCACATGCAAATAATGTTTTCAATTACTTGTCTTTGTCTGATACAATTGATATGATGTTAAAAATACTTTTATATATTTCAAATTGTGTCATTTACTGTAGATCTCCTTTTTTCCATTTTATAGCAAAGACTAGATTACACAAACTTCATAAAGTTTTATGGTAGTTACCATGAAATCAGTACCCTTCAGTGGGCAGTGTTTAGAGTTTCCTTAAGCTGTTGTATGAAATCTAATAAAAAAAATATATGTGATAATACTCTGCCACGTACTTCATTTAAATTATTAAATAAGGTTCTTTTGTAATTGTAGTACATTGTAGTACTAAACACAGAATACAGAATATTTCACGAATGGAGACTTCCGGTGTTTATTTTTGGGTATATGTGGTCCTTCTGCTGCAAAATATAATTATTTTTTCACATTTCATCTAAATAAAAACAAGTTTCTTAATTGTCTGAAATCTCTTCAATTACTAATACATTTCCTCTGATACAGATCAGTTAATAAATTTAAACCTCCATTTCTTTGTTTTATAAAGTACTGGGTTCTTTTCTCAGTTGTGGGAAAAGCTTAAAGCTCAAAGAATAACAAAATATATGAATAGCCCGTCATATATATAAAAATATAAAACTTGCAATCATTATTATCGATGCACTAAAAAAAAAAATTTTGACGATTTTTTTTTTTTTTGATGTTAACAATGCCTTTTCCATTCATTGATTTGTTTGTTTTAATTTTTTATGTAATCCTCAGAGTTTTATACAGAAGATAAACTCTTGTTTCTTCAATATTGGCAGAATAAATGATAAAGAATTTCTTATTATATGTTTTAGAATAATGTCTATGTTAGGATTCTTTCACAGAAAATATATTTTATATGTAATCTATCATAACGTTTGCACACTGAAGTGTCTACAGATTTTTCCGACATGAAAAGGAGCACACGGCGGGTGTGACTGGTCGGCAGGAGATGCTCACTCCTCTATGGCTTCCGATCACACCTCTGATGTTTTAGAGTCCGTGTTTGCTTTGCTCCTGATTTGTATTGTTTGAATGGACTTATCAGCTTGAATACTGTTCCTTATCTCCATATTTCATCAATTTACTGTCAATACAGATTCTTGAAACGTCTTGAATGGTGATTGTGAAGGTATTTGTGTGCCGATACAAAGTGGACGAAAATGTGAATGTGATTTCGGCCTGCAACTTCAAACAGATTTGAAAACTTGCGATAGCAGTAAGTGGGTTAATCCTCTGGTAAATAATCCATAATTTGTTTTGTGATAAAAGATATGTATTTTTGTGTCGTATGAAGAGCAGAGTGTCACACAGGGATCACTTTACCTGGCGTCTGTCTGTCTGTCCGTCCGTCCGTCTGTAACACCCTATATCTTGAGAACTATAAGAGGTATAGATTTGATATTTTACACACTTCTTGCCTGGCACTTTGGTTTCGAAAATACCATAATTACTGACCTTGACCTTTGACCTACTTTGCAAATTACTCCTGATGGTTGATTCTATTTGTCTTTCTTTTATTTTGAGACACAAGCTTTTGGTCATTAGCATTTATATCACATGTTTCTGAGCTCATAACATTGTATTTTGAAACTGTTTGCTTTACAGATACCACACAAACTGAAATTTTAAAAATACTATAAAAAATACTTCAGGATCGGTATACCAAAAAAAATCCTTGTAGATTGACAATTTTAGTTAAGAAAGACTAAAATCTTCTTGGAGGATAGTTGTTTTTAAAATGACAAATAATCATTTTCAATAATTTCACCCCATTTCATTATTCTCTTTAGCTTTGAGGGTTGGGGAATCATATTTTTTATTTGATTAATGCTATTCTATAAACAAACAAACAAACAAACCTTTGTCTAACTTCTAACTTCTTGATCCTTTCTTAAATGCTGGAATTACCAAGTGTTCGACCATACAGCAACAAAAGGTGGGAGAGGAGCTTCCAAATAAAAATTTACATTAGTAGAACTACATCAAAAAACTATTCTCAAAAAAGAAGCCACCCCCTTCCGCGTGATAAGCTCCTGTTAATTTTATTCTTTGTTATAATGCTAGTAGCAAATAAATATCTGACCACCCTTAGAATTATTTCAATCTGTAATGATGATGCGATAAAGAAGGCGACACATGCTTTTCCTTGAAACACACTAGTTTTTTTTTATTGTAAGGCGTTTATTCGAATAATTTCCTGATTGTGGTTGATAACTCCCATGGAAGGGTCCTTCAGATTGACATAAACACAGGCAATGTAGTCAAATTACCAATCAGTATAAAGTATTCCCCAGGAATAGCATTCGATAAATCAACAAAGGAACTCATCTACTCTGATTCCTCATCAAAAAAAATTATGTCAACAACGCTTCATGGAAAGAATAGATCCTTGCTCTATTCAACAGGTATTTAGAACCTGATATTTAAAAAATGATTAGCAACTTATATTTTTTTTCTCCTCAGCATTGTGTATCATATATTCTTTGTTGTTGTTACCATTGCACTAAATCTGCCATTCACAGGATTCGCCTTTGCTGGACGTTTGACCATTGACTATTCAACGGGAAACATATACTATTCCGCAGTAGCCTCTACACCGAGTCAAAGTTATATTGGAGTTGTACATAGACAGAGTTTTCTTCATAAGACTTTGTTGTCTAACTTGCATAGACCAAAAGATATTGTTTTATATCCGTCAAGAGGGTAGGCATATGTACTTGTAAGTGCATGAATTCGATGTTGTATTATTGCAAAATATATAAAATTAGCAGAAATACACGTAATTACATTTTCTTAAGTGTGTATGTTAATCTAATATAAGATTGATCATTATAAACCACTTCTCTAGATATTTATACTGGACAAAAACAGGAAGTATCAAAGAAATAGGTAGATCGTACATGGATGGAACATCAAAAATGTACATAGCAACAACAAATATTGGAGCCCCAACTGGTCTTGCAATCGATTTTACATGTATGAATAAATACCGCTACAATCTGTTTCCTTACATTCCATCTCTGAGGTATATCTTATTCAAAAAATGAGATTCATACTGATGAATTCATCTTTTACATTTTAGCCAATAGACTTTACTGGACAGATGCAATTAAAAATCGTATCGAGTACTCTGACTTGAATGGAGGAAACAGACATGTTTTAACAACAGATAAAGACGCATTTCCATTTGGAATCATTGTTCATGGACAATATCTCTATTACATAGCGTCTAATAGACAGTTAGTGTGATCTTTACTACTCTTTCAAATCAGATTTTAAAAAACAAAAAACAAATGTTTCCTACAAAATGTTTTTCTTCTTTTATAATTGTAGTTTGTAACTGAAAATAATTCAGTATTACTAACTAAGAATTATTTTTGTAAGATATGATTTTGTTTTATGTATTTATTTGTTTTTGTTTTGAATTCTTTCTTTGTTTTGGCTTTTACATTAGTATTTTGACAAATCATACTTTAGTCGAACGAATTCGATAATCTCAAATATAATAGTATTCAATATACATATATTAAAACTGTATTCTTTATACTTTGAAACTATTTAATTGACAACAGAACAACAATGTTAATTCTATTCAGATGAACTGTGTTTGACGGAAGTACTTTGCCTTTAGCAAATCAAAGCAAATATGACATTATTTTTTCTAAAATGCAGAGGCGTAACAAAGATAAACAAAGCAACGGGTTCAAAAGTAACATTTATGTCAATCCATCCAGAGCTGGGGGTGCTTGATAGTCTTGATGTATATGCAGATGATTCAGTTGATTGTAAGTATTAATGTATTGTTAAATAATACACAAAATTTCGAAAGGTATTACGTTTCATCTCACTAGAGTCGCTTGAAAGTCAGGTATGTATTATAAAGTTATTCTTTTCTTTTAGTGAGTTTGAGTTGTTCTACAAATAACGGTAATTGTAGTACGTTCTGCTTTCCAATACCGAATGGAAGAACGTGTGGTTGTGCGGACGATGTTGATCTAAAATCAGATCAAACAACGTGTCAAGGAGGTACAAGTCAGCTTTTAGTGGTGATACAAAAATAAATAAATATACAGAGAATTTAATCCCATATGGCAAATCAATAAGCAATATCAGAACTTCTTACCCCATTTAAAGTCTATTAACTTGGAAACAAATTTCAGTCCGAAACGTCACACAACAGGGGTACAGGAGAAGTACTCTCAGCTATGCAAAATTTAGTGGAATTGGTTTAATTACATTTAATCGCATTAAATCAGGATTATGTTTACAAAATAATTCATTTTTTTTCAGATTCAGATGATAATCTAACTTTCTAAGACATGAACATTTTTACCATAGTAATTTCCGTTCTCACGATTGTATTAATTGTATAATGTTTAATAGACTGCGGACAAAGTAAATCAGAAATTGTATTTTTTTCTGTAATTTTTAATTTTATTTATTAAACTTTATGTCGACTTTAAATTGGACAGTTTCTCGCTGTACTACTTCTCTACGCAATGCGAATTTACATGACTGTCTTCCATATCCTGAACACACTTGCAATATTCACTGTAAATCTGGATATAGACTAAGTGCCAACGTATCCCTTATGTGTGATCACTATGGACAATGGGTTCCATCTCCAGTTTCCTTATGCACAGGTAATGTTTTAACATTTTTGATGAAATTAGAATGCAGGCTCAAAGTAATTTAGGCACTGGGAAGGGTGCGCCTCCCTCATATTTTTTTTTTTGAATACATGCTAAACAATTGTAAACAACTAAACAATCTACGGTTGTGTTTCTTCAACTATAACGTCTCATGACTCCTTTGTTTGCTTGTCAAGGAATTATGTAGGCTGTGCCCAAACTGATATTACTTCATACAGACCTAGAATATACAGCTCAAAAACTTTTTAACTGGACATTTTTGTGAACTAACTAAATGAACATTTTTGGAGTAAATGTTTAGCTACCAAGCAATGAAAGATATGATGAATTTTAAAATTTTATTTAAGTTCTTATATTCGTAATTGACAATTTACTTTGTTGTACACATTTTCTCCCCTTGTTGCACGAATAACAACCTCAATGCAAATTATGCATGAAATGAAATAGGTTTTCACAGAGCCCTTTTTGGAAATGAGCACCGTTCTTGCTAGAGTGCCTGAGAAATATCTTAAAATTCATACATTGTTCGCAGTTCGCCTGTTTTAAGTAAGAATCAGTCTACTTTATTTGACCCCAAATATTTATATTTTTTAGTTTGAATCAGGATTGTTCCATGAAAATGAATGTGTGGAATTTACATTTTTTTACATTTACATTTACATTCTGGGAAACTCGGTGGTGCTGTCTGAGCTATACTATATACTGCTTAATAATTCATACATATAGATTTCCGTGAAATATTTATCAAGCACATATGAATATGGTACTTCCATCTTTTAGTATCTCCCAAAAAGCGCACGAAATTTCTTAAAGAGAGTGCATTTCATACACTAACGCTGCCAGGAAACGATCCCATTATATATCTGAAATGTGTGAAATTTTCTGTTGAACACAAGGACTTTGATGACAATATACAATCGTCTAGAACAAGACATTTGGGAGACACTTCAGCGGGAATGAAACTTATTACATAAACGTTCTATGGTGACTTAGTGATTAGCACTATTGACATAACGCTGTTATTCGTGCAAAAGGGGAGTATATAAATACTATAAAAGAAAACAACAATCCCAAAATACCAACTTTGAATGTGAAAACAATAATAAAATTGCATAATTAATCACGTCTTAAGTTTGCACCATTGTATACTAGCAATATATTTATTTCCCAAATGTGCATTTAATTAGTTCGCAAAAGGCATGTTGAGCTAGGTGTTTTATAAGCTTATTCTTGACCATTTTCAAATCCTTTATATAAAAGGAATTGCATTCAGACATAATGTTAAATAAAGGGAAAATTAAATGCCAACAAGTTAAGTGTTTTCTTTGCCAATTCCCAAATTTCAGAATCAGAATCAGAATCAGAAATTTTTATTTAAAGTCGGATTTCTTTTAACAAATAACATAAGCTCTGTAGAGCTTTTGACGGACAAGATTAGTAAGACTTAAACATATAATACAATATGTCAATATACACATATAAACATAGTTAAAATTTCAATGGCCTGCAGCACAACAGACATAATTTACACACACTAAGACACACACAAATACACAACAACAAACAAAACATATAGCATGCATTTACATATAGGAAAATACATAGAAAAATACATAAATAGAAATAAATATGATTGAAAGGTCAAAGTAGCACTTATACTCTAAAAAGGGTAGTCTATAATTAAATATTTATATAAAATATGAGATAGCACTTTCTCTAGATTAAAAGTTAAACTTTATAATATCATGGTTTATAGTAAATTAACTCATTAAAAGGAATAAACATACTAAACATAAGAAACAGAAAATTGAAAACTTAAAGACTAAAAAAAGAACTGAAATTAAAACTAAAGATTTAAGATCTGCAGGAGCCACATTTACAGGAATCTCCATTCCAGTTATTAATAAGACTTTCAAACTGATTTATTGTAGCTGCATTTCTAATGTCTTCTGGGAGTTCATTCCAGAGTTTGGCTCCAGAGTGTAGGCCATGTTTAGTAGTTCTTACCCTAGGTACCTGCACTGTATTACTTTTCCTAAATTTATATGATGTTTCTTTAAAAGTGAATAGATCAGACCACAGGCAAATGGGGTATGGACCCCCCCCCCCTTTCCATTTTTTTCTTTTTAAATCTGGGGTCGAGTCACCTTTTTCCTATTTTTGTATTCTAATATGCACTGTATGTTATCAACAATTATCAAAATTCGGAATTTATTCCTTCTCGCATTTAATGTTCCGAATGACATTACACGTAATGATGATACCCGAAAATACCGGGCACTTCCGTCCCAGCTGAAGAATGTATAACGAATTTATTCATGTATGCATATTCCATGTTTTCTCATTCTTTCGATAAATAATCAGGCGAAGTTTAAGCGAGGTGAGGCAGACGATGAGAAAAGAGTTGCAAGCCTTCTCTCTTTTTATGTATCAGTCGAAAACGATATATTTAAAAACAGCTTATAGAGACAAAAGAGTTACATTATTGATAACATACAGTGCATATTAGAATACAAAAATAGAAAAAAAAAAGGTGACTCGACCCCAGATTTAAAAAGAAAAAAAAATGGAAAGGGGGGGGGGGTGTCCATGCCCCAAGTGCCTGTGGATCAGACAGATAAGCTGGGCTTTCATTTTATAAAATTTTAAAAACTTCTGTAGCCATTGTTCTTATTCTTCTGATTTTTGAAGTTGGTAAACCTGACTTAAGTAATAATTCTTCATAAGTACTGTTTCCATCATCGTAAATAAATCTGAGAGCCCTTTCTTGAATTTTTTCAATTTTCCTTGTGTTATTTTCTCCACAGAAATGCCATACAACAGGACAATAATTAAAAATACTCATAATAAAAGAATAATAGATAGTTAATTTGCCCAGTTTGGTTACAGTGCAGGGAAATAATTTTGTTACATAAACCAGCATCAGCATAAGCATTAGTAGCATCAGGATCGAGCTAGCATCAGCATCAGCATTTAAAAAACAGCATTACCAGGATCAGCATCAGCAAGCAAAGGATAAAACCAGCATTGACCTACATAAAATCAGCATTATCCTACTAGCATCAGAAAATCAATGAGTTTTAATTCAGTAAAAAATTAAAAAAGAAAGAAAGAATATTGCTTAAAGTATTCACATTATTGAAACATAGTGAGATATTATGATCAAATAATTGTAAAAGGCACTTTTATTGCTTTAAACGGCAATGCTGAAATTCATTATCTACTTCCGGTAGCATGATGCTACTTCCGGTAGCATTGACCTAATTATAAAACAGCATCAGGATAAGGATTACTAGCATTAAATCAGCAAGCAAAGGAAGCATTCAAATCAGCAAGCAAAGGAAGCATTCAAATCAGCATCAATGCTGTAACAAAATTAGTTTCCTGCACTGTAGGTGTTTACCTATCCGTTTTAATACCTTAAGTTGTCTTGCTGCTTTTTTGCAAATATTTGAAATATGGCTATTAAATATTAATTGGCTATCAATTGTCACACCTAGGAGCTTAACCTCTTCCTCACATTTAATATTAGTACCATCCAAATTGAAAGTGATGTTTTCTTTACAGGTTTTATTTCCTATTGAAAGTGCCTGAAATTTTTCTGGATTTGCTTTCATGTGATTGTTTGAGAACCAATTTATTAGATTTAGGCTTTCTTCTTCTAAAACTTTAATAACTTCGCTCAAATCAGAGTCTGAATGAGACAATGAATTGTCATCAGCATAGTTATATAACATGCCTTCATCAACAAAGCTAAAAATATCATTTAAAAATATGTTAAAAAGGACAGGGCCTAATATAGAACCTTGGGGTACACCCTTATATATATCTTTAAAAGTGCTAAAAATATTCCCTACTCTTACACATTGTCTCCTATCTGACAAATAACTTTGTATAAGTGATAATGCAGAGTCTGAGAGGCCATACATTTTCATTTTCATCAGCAACAGGTTGTGTGGTAAACAATCAAAGGCCTTTGAGAGATCCATAAACACTGCAGCAGTGTACTTGTTATCATCAATGGCTTTTTTCCAGTCTTCAATGATTTTCATTAAAACAGTATTACATCCATAACCTGGCCTAAAAGCTGATAAATAGCTATAGGGATGGAATATATTTTCAAAGAAATTCACCAACTGTGTGTATATTGCCCTCTCAAAAGTCTTTGAAATTGCTGGTAAAATGCTTACCGGTCTATAGTTACCAACTTCTAATTGACTATTTTTCTTATGAAGTGGTACAACCTGTGCCTCTTTGAGTTTTTTTTGGAAATTCACATTGTTCAAATGATTTATTAATTAGCATGGTGATTGGTTTTGTTATGGTTGGATTTGAGAGTTTAAGTGTCTTTACAGAGATACCGTCCTTTCCTGTTGCTTTTTTAATCCCAATTTTATTTTTTGCTATTCAACAAAAGCAGTCTGTATAGGTTTAAATTCCATTAGATTTTCTGTATGTACTTTTTCAGAAATTGCTTTAATGCTAGGATGATTTTGATCAACTGTACAACTCCCTACCCCTATGTCTTTAGCAACATTCACAAAGAAATCATTAAAAGTTTCTGCCACCTCTGTTTGATTATTTATAATTTCCCCTTCCTTACTAAGTATAACATTTTTTTTTTCAAAATGACTACCTTTATTTGTCAGGAACCAAGATGAGTTTACGCTTTTTTATAAACTGCTTCGCGGTTTATAAAGCGTAAACTGCCCCAACCCAGTTTATACCGTATAAAATGGGTAGCTATTAAATTCATTCCATAAAAATAAAAACCAAATCTAAAGAGGGTTTTTTCTCTTCCATGAGAATAAAACTGGTCCTTTATTCGTTTGAAAGTTTTAATATAACATATATTGCTCTGTTATGATAATTTCCAGAGTAGCAAGAATAAAAACCTAGATTTGGCTTCGGTGTTTTTCTTTGATACTTTTCACATACTTTTATGATTAAGTACCTCGGTGGTTTAACTTACAAATGAATAAATAGAATTTTAGATGTAACAACCACTAAAATGTTCATTAATAAACTCTGTTTTTAGAAATATTCTGCACGTCAGCTATAAAACATGTCAAATTATCATCAAGTTGCACACAAAAAGCTGGTGAATCTTGCAAATTCTCTTGTAATGATGGATATACCCCGACAACTTCAGAGAGCTTACTTTGTACAGATATGGGCACCTGGAGCCACAACACCAGAAATTTATGCTTACGTTAGGCATTGTCCGAGAAATACGGAAATGATCCATATTTTGATTCTTAAATTTTGTTAAAATTGAAATGCTAAGATGCTTTCCTCTTGAAAAAAAATTATATCTTCAAAGAAGAAATATGGTCTTTTTAGGAATTGTTTGATCATTTCACTTCTACAATGATAAAAAAAAGATAAAAACGTAGTTGAAAGAATTTTACACATTTCATTTTTCGCGTCGCAAAGAAAGTAATTTTGATCAATCTAAATCCAACAGAAGAAACTGGTTTGGAAAGTGTTTTAACTGTTGTACATGGAAAACATTTTTCTTTGGAAACAGTTTTTTAAATACAATTTGTATGTGTCATAATTGGGATATATACATGTAACATGGTGTAATGGTTTTATTAATACAAAGACTATATGGTTTGTCGCAATTGTGTAATGTGCCACTTTTCATATAGTTAAATCTGATATGGCCTATATCTCAGTTTGTGTATTATATACAATCGTCAGATACATGTTGCTCTGTAGAAATGATGATAACATTGTACACCAGTCTCTAAATAATTGTAATCATATCATAAATACACTGTAAAAATTATGTTAAAAACAACACTTAACACTAAAATAGAACTTACAAAAATGTAACAAATAAAATATTGAATATACAATATACTTCTTAATAATAAATAATTTTACCATTTTATTTTCTTATATTTCTTTTCATAGGAAACACATCCTCACAACACGATAGCGAAGACGATTTTGAAATATACAATAGATATGTCTACATTGGATCATCAATTGCAGCCATCGCTGGAATAATTTTCGCTGTAACTCTTGCAATAGCGTGTTTCCTCAAAAGAAAAAACACATCTCGGTAATTGTAATGTTTTAATTTGAAGTTGTTTATTATAACTTTGTCAAACTTTGGACCCTGTATGCGTCTCAGTTTTGGTCATGATTATAACAGGAGATACATGGATCACAATGTTCACCTGAGTCACCTTGGCTCTACTATCCTTAAGAATTTCTATAAAAGATTTTTTCCCTTTTTATTCCCATAGACATTTAGGCCATACTGTGGACCCGTCCTAGTTCATAGAATCGTCTTTATCAACGTAAATCTATACAAAATGGGAATGGAATACTTATATATATATATATATATATATATATATATATATATATATATATATATATATATATATATATATATATATATATATATATATATATATATATATATATATATATATATATCCCTCCCTTCTGGGGGCCAGGATTTTTACAAATTTGAATCTGCACTACATAAGGATGCTTATATATTATATGTAAACCCTGCTGTTCTTTAGAAGAATTTTCCATATATATTCCTAGATAAACCTTCAACCTTCAATCCCTTACAGTGGTTTAACCCTATCCCAGGGTGCCCCAATTTGAGCAAACTTGAATCAGTACTACCTGCAGATCTTGCATATAACTTAACTGTTCCTGTGAAGAAGATTTTAAAAGATTGTTCCCTGTATAATTCCATGTAAGACTTTGATCCCCTATTGTTGCTCCTTCCTACCCCTAGGGCCATAAGACTCTGTCTCATTTACACAAACAGTAGTTTCGCAGAGATAGAGGAAAGCCTATGATAATCAGTTTGGTGGGTCTTAAATCACGTCAGAAGAAAACCTCTTTTAATTCCTGTAGATCTTTCGTGTCAACCACCATGTAGGGTTTACAATGGATACCAAACTACAATTTACCCAATTGGCTAGAATCCAGAGTTAAAATTATGTACGCCCAGAAAATGTCACATATGTCGGGCACATAAATATCAAAAATGTAACAAATAAAACACTTTCTTACAAAAGATTTTTTTCTATTCAGACTCTGATGTTATCTATTTGATTTTATAGCGATTCGTACCAGACATCACCAGTGCACACGGAACACAATTACTCGATAATCAGAAATCGTGGACATTTGACTGGAATTAATAGAGAAGAGGGGCAAGAAACTGCTGAATACGTAACCATCGATGACCAATTCATTACAGAATATGTGGAACCAATTGACGACAGGTATCTGTACCCTTGTGGACATTTGACTGGAAGTTATAGAGAAGAGGGGCAAGAACCTGCTGAATACATTGCCACTGATGATCAGTTCATTACAGAATATGTGGAACCAATAAAGGACATGTATCTGAATCCTGTATAAACTATGCTACTCATCTACAGCAAGGAACTTATGAGCAGACAAATATTTGTTTTAAAATTTTACATTGATTGTAATATATAAATTATTTTTTGGATCGCTACTAAACATTTGTTATGTTTTATATTGAAATCTGAATTAGTCAGAAACTAACGGGGTTTTTTTCAGTAGGGCTTTTAGCTTTTCCTTAATCAGTTTTCTAAACGCCAACTGATACCTGATGAAAAAAAACAAATAACTAACAGCTTTATTTTTGTGAGTGTAATTTACTTATCAACTACAGAAAGTTTTACGAGAAATTCACATTTCTCCATTATGTAAAAGTAATTTAGAGAAAAAATTATTAATTTTGCTTTGATACTTGTATGTAACAATGTGAAATAAAAAATTGTCTTAAATTACAATCATTACAGATTTATATCTTTGATAAACACGTAATGAAAGACAGTGTATGATATAAAATATCAATTCTTATGTACATGTAAGTAACCAAATCAAAGTTAAAAACGATAATATAAGAGGGTTGAGATTAAAATTGAAAATTGTCTGATGTAAACTCATTTAACAATCATTATATAAGAAATCTCTATTAATTCTATCACAGCGAGAGATGTTTTAAGTCCCATTTGAGAATTTGCCACTCTATAGACGTCACCAAAGACTGATGAAGGGCTTCAAATTTAGACCTTTTATTGGTAGTAAGGGTCCTTTACAATGCTAACACCTACCGTGACAAGGGGGCTCGTTTTCTAAGTTTTCATCCGAAAGACCTGCGACTTTCACTTCAATTGCCGGGGCTTGTCGAAGAAACAACAACGAATGGGTATTAAAGCAAAACACGATTGGAACTTAAAACAACACAATCAGTTTTGAAACCCTTCTTCAAAGGTGATACGACTGGATGGATTCTTGTCGTTAAATCAATTTTTTTTGTTCCATGATGAATTGATCGTCATGAATATCAAACTGAATCTTTAATATTTTATGTTAACGTAGGTACATTTAAGTAAACCATTATAAATCATCTTTCATAACGCACGTAAATAAATACAGGTACAGGCTGCTTTGAAAGTGATACATGTATATGTACAGTCCTTCTAAAAAAATTGTTCAAATTTGACAAAGCAGAACAGAAGTGACTTCCTTATTCAGTGTTTACAAAAAGTACTGTACTTTCCCCAATTATCCAGTTATATATTGCTTTTTAATTTAAATGGATGTTCGTTTCTCATAAAACAATTATGTTTGTATTACATGCGATAGTTTGTCTTATAACCACAGCAACAAATGTGTACTTTTCTTTTGGTAAGTCAAAACGCATTGATTTTATATTTATAATTAAATCTGAAATTAAATACAAATTTACAATTTAACAAAACAAAAGTTCCTCAATTTATTAACCATTCAATGCTGCTTTGATGTTGTCCCCTTTTTAAATTTGTATTTAATGATATCAAATATATTAGATATTTGTAATGAAGATCGATAATGTATTTGAAATGAAGTAAAAAATCATTAGTTTTTAATCAAAGTCTTTTAACATGTATAAAAGATAAAAAAAAAACACTTTGTTAATTCCTTTACTAAACGAATGTATATTTCTTCTCACAAGGTTTTTTTTTTATCATGAGAAGTTACTTCTTTGAAAAAGTTTCTGTTTGTTAGATGAAATTGTCAAACAAAGTTTTTTGATAAAATTAATCAAGGAATAAGAAAAGTTGATTTACGATTGACAAATGATAATAAATATGAGAGAGAGAAGGAATGACAAAAGAAAGATGTACTTGCTGAACTGTTTAATACAGTACCCCTACATCAGGTGATGTAAAAATTTGCATTATGTTTATGAAATATGGAGATAACGAACAGTATTCAAGCTCAAAGTCTAAAACAATACAAAGTGGGAGCAGAGCAAACACGGACCTCCAAAAACAGAGGGTTTTTTTAATACCAGAAATTATAATTTTAAAAAGAAATTTGAATATAGATTTAGAAAGAACGAAACGAATAAGGAAAAGAAAACTTGTACACAAATATGCCTGCTGGATCCAAATATTCTAATAATAAACAGTAATGTCTTTTCATGTACATGTAAAAGACTGTCAACTACAGTGGAGCCTCATGTATCCGGACGCTTTGGTTCCCAGTCAATTTGTCCGGATATGTGAAGCGTCCGAATACCTGAATTGCCTGATTTTAGATATATGGCCTTTCATACCATTGGCAATAGTAAAGAAAGTTGCTTTATATCAATATGTTTTATTGTTTAAATACTTTAATATAAGTTAGTACTTATCAATACTTGTTTAAATAAATAAAAAAGTACATGTTTCATTGGAAAAAACGTGTTTACATGTATATATGGTCACATTAGTCATTTCTGCTTCTCAGTGTCTAATGAATCAACTTCTCCTATATACATATGTAGTAGCGATGTCAGTACTGTCGGTAGAGTCTTATTTAATATTCAAGAACATCCATCAATGCTTAATGTGACATAATCTGCACATGTATACGAACGCTAATCGTAATCATCCAAAGCGAGATCGTATTAACGATTGTGTAATTTTGAAAGATATTTTATAAATTTATCAAATCATAGAATGCTTTTTGCACACAAAATACTGTGCATAAAAAGCTCCGATGTCATATCTATAAATACATAAAACCATGTTTCGACTGTATTCTAACAGTAAAAGAAATATATTTGCCGACTACGAAAAAATTATCCTAGACTTATAAAATTATTTCCCTTAATTAATACGTATCTAAACCATGTTAGAGAAGTGAGAGTCTCGTGCGTACCTATCGATCTACAATTAACCTTGCCGCAAGCCATTGATAACAGGTCGCAGGTGATCATCTTTTAAAACAAACAGCCAGACCAGTGTTTTTACAACAATTCACACCCAAATCAAGAAATCTGAGCAGACTTGACAGACAAGTTAAAAAATTATCGTCCGGATAAATGAACCAAAATATAACGTAAAAATTCATTTTGTGGTGAAAAAAGACCGTCCGGATACGGAACGCGGAATTCCGGTTAAACGAGACAAAATAACGTTAAAAAATTTCGTTCCCATGAAAAATCGTCCGGAAACTGAAGTGTCCGGATATCTGGCGTCCGGATATCTGAAGGTCCACTGTATTTCCAAATTTACGTACGCTTTAAAAATATTCTGGCTTTGGTTTTACAATTGTTTGGCTGATGTATACGTTGTATGTAGGAATATATGTTTACAAACATGGCATGTATTTCAAGGTTATTACACCTGTTGAGAACATAGTTGTTTTCCATCTCCAGAAGAGCGTGTTGTTCGAATAAAGCGTGTCTTAAAACTGAACACGACTCGTAAATAGGCATACGCCATTTTCGATATTACTATCTACGATATCAGCACCAGGGTATCCTCTTCGCATTCGTTACACCTGACTGCTTTATTGTCACGGGTATCGGCGTGGAATGGGGACCCGTGTTCGTACTGGTTATCGTGCATTACCTTTGTTTACTTTTTATTGAAGTAACGTGTATTTACAAGAGTTCGTTTATACAGTACCAACCAGACCCAACCTGACACCTAACCAGTCCCAGAAAGCAGTCCCCGGGACTGCTTTGGGACCGCTGTGGGACTGCTCTGGGACTGCTCTAGAAAGCAGACCCAGCAGTCCCAGCTGTCCCTGGGACTGCTTTGTTCACTCATGCGTGAAAAAGGTTCTGAGTGGCATGATAGCTCCGCCCCTTGTGTATTCTGAATTTGCAACTCCCTGTTGTTGTTTTGTTTACCTTTTGCAGAGAGGTGTTTAAGATTAAAAAAAAAAAAAAAAAAAAAAAAACAAACAAACAAACAAACAAACAAGTATTTCTTACAAAAATTAAATAAGTAGAGATAGTTAAACATGTAATTACTAAATGTCTTCAGGGGCTGTAAATTTACACAATCGTAGTCTAGAATTAATTTTATTTTTTACAAATGAAAGAAGTTAAAAAGGAAGTCAGGGAATGATTTCTTATCCCTTGAAATAAACTTCAATACAGGTGTTTGGAAAAAAAATTATCTAGGCCTATTTAATAAACTAATGTTGTCAAATTATGTATTCAAAGTTTGTATTAACACTATTTAAAAAAAAAACAAAAACAACTTGTCATTTCAGTAAGATATTCAGAGGGACGTACTGTACTGGATTTTTTTCTTAATTGAAAAAACTAATACCATGCTTAAAATAGAGCACTCCATGCTATTTTTTACCGCACTCAAATAAGACCTAATAATTTATTAAATGACCATAAAATAAAATTATTCTACCATTCTTCTGTTACATAATCAATGTGAACAATTATTGGGGAATTTATTTATGAATTAGTTTTTAATTTATAAACAAGTCATTAAAAGAGTACATTTATATATATTTAAAAAATAAACATTTGAAAATATCGGGAATCGTGACTTATTTCTTATTTGTTTTGTTTGTGTGTATCTGACCGATTAATAAAAAGCAATACAATTGTATAAAATGATGTCAACACCTGTGGTTTCAATCGCCTTTGGGCATACCCTAACAAAAGAAATACTATAGTAAACTATAGTCAACTATAGTTTACTATACTTAACTATAGTACCAAAGTAAAAACTTTGGAACTTTGATTTACTATAGTAAAAACTTTGGAACTTTGATTTACTATAGTAAAAACTTTGGAACTTTGATTTACTATAGTAAAAACTTTGGAACTTTGATTTACTATAGTGAAAACTTTGGAACTTTGATTTACTATAGTAAAAACTTTGGAATTTTGATTTACTATAGTGAAAACTTTGGAACTTTGATTTACTATAGTGAAAACTTTGGAACTTTCATTTACTATAGTTAACTATAGTAAACTATAGTTAACTATAGTTTACTATAGTGTTTTTTTGTTAGGGTAATCAGTAGATAGTCAACTGATGTTATTTGGGTATCAGTGTTACACATCACTGAACACGCTGGTCAACAATGACACTAATTTCAATCTATGTACTGCAAAAAAAATCTTTGTTTCAATAATTGTGTATAAATTTATTTCGGGATTAAATAATTTTGAATATAATCTGAGGGTTCCATTCGCGTGATTTACAGATGTACACTCGAACATTTATATAACAAAGTACTTAAAACTAAGAATTTAATGATAATTAAATAGGCAAGTCATTAGAAATAATCATGACTGAAATATAATACTCGGCAATATTTCACAAAAAATTTTTCAAAAGCGCCATTACTAAAGAAAAATGCATTCAGAGTATAGTATGGGAATCGGTCTTGCTCTATAAATATAAGATCTATTTAAAGCTAATTCTGGTAGAAAATAAACAATTCAAGTTTAATTTTCTATATACAAAATAAATATGAAAACCAATATCAATAACAGGAAAAAAAAGAAACTGATTTATTTTGGTGAAAAATAAATATACCAAATAGTTGTGTTTAAATATTCATGTTTTAATAGGTGTGAACATCTTCTTCGTTCAATAATTATTATTTGTTTCTACACGCGTACTGTAATTTTCTTAAAAGTTCAGAAATGACTGTAGCGTAAGAATTGTAAATAGTTGTTGATACTACTCAGAAAGAACTGATCATCAATTTCAACTGCCTTTTATAGTTACATTGTTTATTGGTAATCTCATTCTGAGTAAGCTCCACCCATTAAATTAATAAACCCCGCCCACTGGGACTGCTGGAACTGCTTTCTGGGACCGCTGGGACCGCTGTGGGACTGCTATGGGACTGCTCTGGGACCGCTGTGGGACTGCTTTAGCAGTCCCAGAAAGCAGTCCCCGGGACTGCTCTGGGACTGCTTTGTATCAGGTTGGGTCTGGTTGGTACTTTATACTGCACTGACCTGTGCAACTATTGTACGTTTCTTTGGTATCTTTCTCTCCTGCATTAGAATAGGTACACACTTATATTTTGTCGCTACGAAGTGCTGTATATCATACGTCTTTCTACACCGTGACGATTGATTACTCTGAACAGTGACCAAGTCAGCGACTTTTATAGGGGCCCTCGGATATAGCGAGAATCCAATCGAATATGGTTCTTGCTACTGAAACTTGTTTCAGTAGCAATACTTAAATGACAAATTCTTGGGGAAAAATATATAGTATTGAGGAACGTGTCGTCTGACCTTAAATTTTTTTATGATCAAAATTGTATTTTTTCCTAAGTGCCTCTGAACATGTTATTGAATTATTGTATAGCTCAATATAAAAAAAAAATAAAATTATTTACGCATTAAATTAACCTCATTTTCAAATTGGATCTAAATATTTCCTTGATTTTAAGATAACATGCGGAAATACACCTTTTTATTTTGAAAGAATGTTTGTCATGATATGGGCACACGTTCAAGGTTAGAAAATGCACTATATATATGAGGTACTATTACAATAATTTACTAGGTACAAATACAATAATCATGCAATTCAAGGTTTCTGATATTGTTGGCCACGGCAATGTTGAATTTAAAGCACAATAGATTATTGACATTGATTTATATTTAAGGCCTAAAAACCTTTTGCCTTACAAGAATTTGCTACAGAGTTGTGAAGAAAATATTAGGTGAGTGTCTGTGGCGTGACATGTGATTGAAAAACCTTAGCATATTTTAGAATATTTTCCTTTTTAACTTTACTACATATTCTCAAACCAACTTAATGAGTCCTGAGTTAAGAAAAAGGAGGTTTTACACATCTTAAGTTTATCTTGTTTAAATGTAGTTATTTAGGCATATGTACATTTTACAAATACAAAACTTCAAAAGCAAACGTCATTCGCCAGAGAGCTAAAGTCTTTTCAAAATACATTTAAAATTCAGACGTTTTTACAAGAATATATTGGATTGAGATAGAAAATTGATACAAAAAATAAAGATTAAAAAAAAGGTTTTTTTTTTTTTAAACATTTATTATTCTTTTCAATACCCTTTCCTTCAGCAAGTCCTTCAATCAGGCAATCGGATTTAAGAACGTAACTAACAATTCACTATTAGCAGTTCAAACCTCAAGTTTGCAATCCCGTAAGGATTAAACTAGGAGGAAAAAAAATTAAAAGACATTATAATGCAAAGTAATGTGGATAATAAAAAGCGTAATAACGCGACTTTAAAAAGTGTTATAACACTTTGAAAGCGTAATGTAAGAAAAAAGGGATTATGTCTTTCAAAAAGCGCAATAATGCAAAGTGAAGGGGTGTTACTATGCCTTTCTAACAGACGTAATAACACAAAGTAAAAAAAAAGAAGCGTAAAAACACAAAGGTTTTATAACGCGAAGTGTAGAGGCATTATCGAGTTTTTTTTTTTTTGAAAAAGCGTAATAATGTGAAATGGAAAGGCATTATAACATCTTTCGAAAAGGCTTCATAACACAGTTCAAAAGGCGTTAGGTGAAGGACTCATATCTTATTGGATCCATGGGGAGGATTTCACAAATATGGTAGATTAATTATTCATTATAATACTTCAAACAATTTACAACCAGATTTCCAGGGAGAAAGATTTTTAAAGGTATAATTTAATTTTAATGACAATATGTTACTAACTTTAGTCCTACTCTAACATGTGTCTAATGCATTCCATCAAAATGGATTTATCAATTTTGATGGGATTGAAGGGTCATTACTTCTTGTACTCATGCAAAAAGTTTGAACTTTTTCAATACTTGACCAGCTTATCCCCTGCTTGGGCCTTAATCTTGGACCCCAGGGTCATAATTTTCACAATTGTTGTGAGAGGGTTGGTTCATAATAGTTATGTGAGGAGAAGCACAGAAAAGTGTTTTAAAATATTACATGCATTGCATGAATAATGATGGCTTTGATTCCTCTATAATTGACGCCTTTCCACTTCGCGTTATTACTCCTATGTACAACTATCGTGATAACACTAGTTTCAATTAGCGTAATAACGTTCTTTCAAAGGTATAATAACGCTTTTAAAAAGGTGTAATAAAGTCTTTTCACTTTGTGTTATAATGCCCTTCCATTTCCTATTATTATACTCATTTTCAGAAGTCTTAATAACACTTTTTTTTTCTTTCGATGGCCTTATAATAAGCGTAATACAGCTTGTTCTTCTTCCCGTAAATACGTCTTTTGAAAAGGGTCAAAATGTCCTTTTTTATTATTATTTCTCCTATTTTGGCGTTATACTACCTTATTATTCTGCGTTTTTACGCTTTTTCAGTATTACGCCCTTTTACTTTTCGATATAATGCCCTTTCATTTTCTCACCTTATTTTGATACCAATTGGCTTTCTTAATCTAGAATACTGGTTGCCATTCAAAATTTTCAAATGTTTATATTACTCAATAGTCTCAATTAGACAAAATACGATCATTAAAGACCCCTACCTACATGCAGTTTGCGACTGATGTATTAGGATGGAGGCACAAATGGTCAAATACTACCAATGTGAAAAGTGGTGATATGTATGTAGTTTTGAAGATCCACCCTTTTATGCCTTCTTTATAAGTCCCCTACCGGTGAAACCGGAGGGGACTATAGGTTTCCTCTGAGTCTGTCCGTCCGTCTGTCCGTCCGTCTGTCTGTCTGTCTGTCCGTCTGTCTATCTGTCTGTCCCTCTGTCTGTCTGTCAGTCTGTCCCACTTGGTTTTCCGCACTTTTTTCCTAAACGCTTGCAGATATTGAGCTGATTTTTGGTATGTGAGTGTATCTTGATGAGTTACAGATCAAGTTTGCATTTCGTTCCGCTTCATTGATTTTTGACGGAATTACGGCCTTTTCAATTTTTAGGGGTTTTCCGCAATTTTCTTCTAAACGCTTGTAGATATTGAGCTGATTTTTGGTATGTGGCTTTACCTTGATTAGTTATAGATCAAGTTTGCATTTCGTCCCGCTTCATTAATTTTTGACGGAATTATGGCATTTTCAATTCTTAACGGGAACAGAACCAGATTACACTTGCCGGTAGGGGACTAGTATTGCTAATGCAATACTCTCAGAATGCTTGTTATAACAAGCATTCTAAGAGTATTGCATTAGCAATACTAGTCCCCTACCGGCAAGTGTAATCTGGTTCCCGTTCAAAATTGAAAATGCCATAATTCCTTCAAAAATCAATGAAGTGGAACGAAATGCGAACTTGATCTGTAACTCATCAAGATACACTCACATACCAAAAATCAGCTCAATATCTGCAAGCGTTTAGATAAAAAGTGCGGAAAACCAAGTGGAACAGACTGACAGACAGAGGGACAGACGGACAGACAGACAGACAGACAGATAGCTAGACGGACGGACAGACTCAGAGGAAACCTATAGTCCCCTCCGGTTTCACCGGTAGGGGACTAATAAGGGAGGCCCAGGTTCGATTCGCTGCTCTGCATCCAATCTGAGACATAAACAGAGGTAGTGACTGTTCCTTCGCCAAGAAGTGAAAGTTACAGGTCTTTCGGATGAGACCTCAAAAACCGAAGTTCCGTGTCACTGTGGGCGTTTGCACGATAGGGAACCCTTATTTCTCAATGGTCCTAGGTAAAAAGTGCAAGTCTAAATTTGAAGCCCTTCACTGGTGTAACTGGTATTTGGTTCTAAATGAGTAAAAAATTCTCGAGTGAGACGTACATGTAAAACAACATACAATCAAGTTTCTTTTGGAAATGCACATTTTATATGAGTAAGCAGAGGGTTTATGAACCTTAATTGATTAAGACAAAAAATGTGTTCTAATTAAATTTTAGTTTGTTACAATGTTTAAAGTATTTAAAGCATTATGAAATTATCTCCCGTTTTGTATAGGAGGATTTCCCTCACAGCACCCCCCCCCCCCCGAATCTGTACTCTAGAGTAGGACTTCCCCTTTAGGGGCAATCTCACACTAGAGCCAAATTTCCCTCTCTTTCTATATCAGAGTAGGATTTCTCCTATTTTATAAATGCTAGAATCATATAGACAATATTTTGTGCAAAAGATAATATTGTACTTTTTTTTCTTTCAGAAACCAGTTTGACCAAATGCAAAGAATAAAACCTAATGTTTTAAAAGAATTGGTTGGGCAATTACTGAGAGAAAATAGATTAAAGATTTTCAATTTTCATAGTTCGTGTGATTCAATAGAACTGGTTGCATTTTGAAAATTTTAAATGTTGAATGCACAACTAGACTTTTTGTTCATATTTTTTTGAAGTTTCTTTAAAATTGTCTGCCTGTTGGAAAATTAAAGGAACACTCGTGACAATGTATCGCCCCTCTCCACCCCTCAGATATAAGCACATGTATAATATTTTATCGGGGAGATTGGCTCCGGCGGAAATCGCACTCCATAACTATTACACGGAGTAGACCCCCCCCCCCCCCCGGAAAGTTGAATCTTATGTGGGATTTCCGTAGGGGGAATTCTACTCAAGAGTCATTTTTTCGTGGGAAAAGTCCTACTCTAGAGCCCATTTCCGGTGAGAAATCCTGCTCTTGATCCAGTTTTTCGGAGGGGTGACTTTAGAGGGGAAAGCCTACTCTACAAGACTGATATTATAGCACAAAAATGGCGTTCCCTAATTGCTGTACAGTGTTGTTTAGATACCCCACCTCAAATATTATAAAGGAAAAAAAATGTACACAGAATATAGTTTTCATGGTGAATTCAGAATGATTAAACTTGCAAACAAGTTGCCTGTTGCAGTCATTACATATCAATTGTACATATATTATAAACCCCATCTGTAATTTATTTTCACTGAAAAAGAAAAGAAAATTAATTGAAATAAAGACTTCCACATGCCAGGTAACAAAGTTGGAAATGAAATAAAATATAATTTAATTTAAAATTAATATAATTCAAGGTCTTCCTGATGATAAAGGTCTGATATTGGGAATGTGGAATCCTGCTTCGCTAACCTCCATCACAGAAATACCTAGAAACCCCGCCAGTCACTTCGGAAATGTGTCAATGTCTTTAAATCCTTCAGGCGCTCAGATCATTAGCATATCGTCAGATCCAGAGAGGAAGATCGTTTTTGCAGCCATTGAATATTCAATTTACGCATTCCAAAACTTTACCATCTGGCAGAATGAAACCATTCCTATTTCAGTTGTATACAGAGGGAGGTCTATCGGAAATGCCCAGATTGCATTTGACTATGTTTCAAAAAATTTATACTGGTGCGATTCCTTGCTTAATTGGATAGCCATGAAACCAGCATATCTCGACAATACAACGATATATAAATTGATTATCCACAACAATTTGAAACAACCAGAAGGATTGGCACTAGATCCCGAGGCTGGGTAATACTTAAATACTCACGCTAATAACTCATAATCTAGTTTTCTTTTACAAAGGATGAAAAATGTCCTTGCAAAATTGGAAGACAGTACAAATAATTTTATTTAAAAGACAAAAAATATGTCAATAGTAGTCCTTCTGAAAATAAAGAAGTGTATATAAACTCCAAAGGTACATGAAGATTGTTTCTCAAGCTACACTATAATTTTCTCAAAATTCCCAGTGTCTTATTTTGACCTTTTTTTCTTGTTTGAACTTTCTTTCATTTTATATTGCAGTATTTATGTACAGGTAAAAATGATTCTTTTATGTTTTTCTGCGACCTTGTTAATCATTCCAACAGACTGATGTTCTTTTCCGATAATGATGTGAATCCACGCATTGAAAAGGCCTCCATGAATGGAGATAATAGGACTGTAATAGTGCACACAGGATTGAAACGAGTTCTGTCCCTTTCTGTTGATGTTATCAATAGCTTACTGTACTGGGCAGACTATGGCAGACACACTGTCGAGGTCAGCGACTATTACGGATTAAACAGAAAAGTACTGCGACGTAGCAACAATGTTCCTGCGACTGGATTACATTTTTATGAGGTAATTGAGTAGGTTTGCTTGTTAATCAAGAGTTCCAGTTACTTTTGTGTTCACTTTGGGTTCCACTTTATCCGCCAAGTATATAAACATTTGTTTTAATAGTTAAATTGACTTCGTATATAATGTTCATACAGAACGTACAAAAACATATTTTATATCGGATATACAATTGACGAATGTTGAGTACTTGCAGAAAAGAAAAGAAACGGGGTCTTAAATTCACATCAGAACGTCTCAACAATCTCCAATCTCCTATGCAGAGTTGTCGTTCGTTCCTCTCTCAGACAATGAACGCATGAGTCGATCGTGGAGAGTGAACAATCTCGTCAAACTAATGGCCCAAATCCGTATGCCACTAGGATACACATTCATTATCCCTTTATTTAATTATTTTTTTATCTAAAGTAAGTGGACAGTAATCAATTGTAATATCAAATACGATTCATCTTGCTTCTGCTTGCCACTGATCTTTAAATTCGGCTTCCGTAATGGACTTTGCATTAACAGAAGCCATCATGTTGGAGGTAACAGACTTTTCTAGAATACATGCACAAAAGGAAACATGTTGGTTTATTTCTATCTCAGCAAACTGTTGAGTAATCATTTAGCTTAAACATTAACAGGATCATGGTCAATGTAGAATATTTAAATACTAAATAAATATAATAGAATATACCGGTATATTACTAAATAACAGATCTCATGGAAAACTTTACCTCACCGATTTTATTGACTGACATTCTAAAGTCAAATGCATGAGAAATATTATGATGTTGAAATTTTCGAGAAGATCAAATTTAAGAGATATACTTACTAATAACTTAAGGCCGCGTGACACAGTCGTTAGAGCGTCTGCTCTAGAGTCGCGGAGTAAGGAGTTTATCCTTACTTCGCGGGTTCGAATCCCACTGTGGGACGTGGAGACCGGTCCTTCGGATGAGACCGTATAAACCGAGGTCCCCGTGTCGCAGTAGGTACTGGCACGAAAATGATCCTTCACTGCCCAATTGCCGTAAGTGCCGAGTATAGGACAAAATTTGCAGCTCTCTATCGGCAAGTGGTGGCGTCTCCATATGAGTGAAAAATTCTCGAGAGGGACGTTAAACAACATACAAACAAACAAACAAACTAATAACTTAAGGTGGGGACCGGTCCTTCGGATGAGACCATAGACCGCAGTAAGTGCTGGCACGAAATAGATCCCTCACTGCTCAATGTCCCTGAGTGCCGAGTATAGGTCTAAATTTCCAGCCCTCCACCGGCAAGTGGTGGCCTCTCCATATGAGTGAAAAATTCTTGAGAGGAAAATTTAACACAAACAAACAAACAAACTGATAACTTAAAATTCCATTTCTGATATAAAAAGGTAATATGTTCAGTTGTGCCTTATAATTGTAGACAAAAAAAAAAAAAAAAAAAAAAAAAGGAATCGAACTCTTAATTCAATAATTTTCTGCCTGTACAGTCCTTTTTTTTTATTTATGTTGTCACCTCGCAACCCAGTCAAATTTGAGTTCAGTTTATCTTTCTTTAAATATGAACTAATGGTCACTTTTAGTATATAATGATGCAACTGCTTAACGCTTTATTGACACAAAGTTAAACTGGAATGGTCCAAGATAAAACCTTTGATATTGCTTTGTGGTAGAAGAAATGACTACTCCTATGGAAAAAAAAATAGAAAGCAAGTAGAGAGATACAGACGACCGTCCTCGGTATTACGTTGGATTTTTTCTCTCTCTTTTCCTCTCCAGAGAGAGAGAGAGAGAGAGAGAGAGAGGGAGGGAGGGAGGAGATAATATAAAATAATACACTATAGCTCAGTCAAATGCTTTTAATTTTAAATACACTAAAATACGAACATGTCTTTACCCAAACTTCATAAAAAGATAATTTTTTTTTGTCATGGAATTAGTAAAAATTGACCAAAAAAAAAAAAAAAAAAAAAACAAGATGTGTTTGTGAAACACTGATGCCCCCGTATGGCAGCTTATGGCGAAGGTTAAAGTTTCTCAAATGCAAGTCAAAATCCAGGCCAAAAGATAAAAAAAATGTTAAATTTGAAAGCCCTAGCTGCAACTGTTCAAAAGTTATGGCGAAGGTTGAAGTTTTTTAAAAGTAAGTAAAACATCAAGGTCAAGGTCAAAGTTGTTGGTATCCAAAGGAAGGTCTTGTCACAAGGATTACATATGTAAAGTATGAAATTCCTAGCACCAACCATTCAAAAGTTATGGCCAAGGTTAAAATTTTTCGAAAGTAGGTCAAACTCCTATGTCAAGGTAAAAAGGTCAAAGTGGTTGGTATCCAAAGGAAGGTCTTGTCACAAGGATTTCATATGTGAAGTATGAAAGCCCTAGCACCAACCATTCAAAAGGTATTGCCAAGGTTAAAATTTTTCGAAAGTAGGTCAAACTCCTATATCAAGGTAAAAAGGTCAAAGTTGTTGGTATCCAAAGGAAGGTCTTGTCACAAGGATTACATATGTAAAGTATGAAATTCCTAGCACCAACCATTCAAAAGTTATGGCCAAGGTTAAAGTTTTTCGAAAGTAGGTCAAACTTCTATGTCAAGGTCAAAGGGTCAAAGTGGTTGGTATCCAAAGGAAGGTCTTGTCATAAGGATTACATATTTGAAGTATGAAAGCCCTAGCACCAACCATTCAAAAATTATGGCCAAGGTTAAAGTTTTTCAAAAGTAGGTCAAACTCCTATGTCAAGGTCAAGGGTCAAAGTGGTTGGTATTCAAAGGAAGTTGATGTCACAAGGATTACATATGTGAAGTATGAAAGGCCTAGCACTAACCATTCAAAATTTATGGCCAAGGTTAAAGTTTTTCAAAAGTAGGTCAAACTCCTAGGTCAAGGTCAAAGGGTCAAATAGGTTGATATCCTGAGGAAGGTCTTGTCACAAGGAATACACTTGTGAAGTTTGAAACCCCAAGCACCAACTGTTCAAAAGTTATGGCCAAGGTTAAAGTTTTTCAAAAGTAGGACAAAATCCAAGATCAAGGTCAAAAGGTCAAAGTTGTTGATATCCAAAGGAAGGCCTTGTCACAGGGAATACACAAGTAAAGTTTGAAAACCCTAAGCACCAACTGTTATGGCCAAGGTTAAAGTCTCATAAAATTTGCAAAAGTGGGTTAAACTCCAAGGTCAAGGTCGAAAGGTCAAATATGATGGTACCCAAAGAAAGGTCTTGTCACAAGGAATACACATGTGAAATATGAAAGTCATAGCTCCAACCAATCAAAAGTTATTGGCAAGGTTAAAGTTGACAACAGACAGACAAAAAAAAAAAAAACAATATACCCCCGGGATCTTTCGATCCGGGGGCATAAAAAAACTGTGTAACTGTCTTAATCTGCTTATCGAACCTAATTTCATTTAAATGTCTTCATTTCTGGTAATACTCATACTCTTGGTATATCATTTTACAGGGAATGTTGCATGTTGTAAGCTCTGGAGCTAGAGCAATGTTTGGAGTAGATGCAGCATCAGGAAAAAAGCTTTACAGTCTAAGGATAAATACAGCACAGCCATATGCAGTACATGTTTATGATGCAGAAACCTCTAAGGAATACATCGGTAAGGAATGTTAAGTCTTAAACAATAAACATTTTGATAAACTTGACACATAATCGGGAATGTTTAAACTATTTTGGGACGAGTTCGATAATGTAGATTCTAGAAAAGATATTCATCGAGCGAGGCGCATGCTTTAGTGATAAATTCAAAAATGTTTTATTTTTAATTGTAAGCTCAAAATTACGAAAGCCTATTAGGATCAAACTACGGTAAAAAAAAAAAATGAAAAGGCGTTATAACGCGAAAAAAGGCGTTATTACGCCTTTCCAAAAGGCGTTATTACGCCTTTTCAAAAGGCGTTATTACGCCTTTCTAAAAGGCGTTATAACGCCTTTCTAAAAGGCGTTATTACGCCTTTCCAAAAGGCGTCATTACGCCTTCTAAAAGGCGTTATTACGCCTTCTAAAAGGTGTTATAACGCCTTTCCAAAAGGCGTTATTACGCCTTTCCAAAAGGCGTTATTACGCCTTTCTTAAAGGCGTTATTACGCCTTTCTAAAAGGCGTTATAACGCCTTTCTAAAAGGCGTTATAACGCCTTTCCAAAAGGCGTTATTACGCCTTTCCAAAAGACGTTATTACGCCTTTCCAGAAGGCGTTATTACGCCTGTTTTTTTTCAATACATGACTTACTTAGACGAACCTGGGGGCTGATTATAATTAGATTTTCTAGGAAAAAAGATTTTTAAAGGTGTAAAATATATTCAGTGTTAAACCAACTTAGTCCTTCTCTGATGCCAGACGCTTCTACCAAGGTGTATGGATTTCAGAAATTTTGTTGAAGGCTAATTGCTCATTATACCTATGCAAATACTTTGCCTGTTTTTTACCAAGAGGAGAGAAAAATATTTCAAATTTGACATGAATTTTTAATAAGTGGCTAGAAAAGCCCAAAGTTGGTTCTGCCTATATCCTGGATTTTCAAAAGTAGAGTGTTGACTTCTATTAATATGCATGCAAAATGCAAACAACTGTCTGCGAGATGTGCAGAAATATAGAAAATACTATAATTTTATAATATAATTTATAATATTAAAACTATAATCTAAATATTGCATAAATAAAGATGGCTTTGGTTCAGTCTTTCATATATTTACTATTTTAAAATAACGCCTTTCCATTTTTGGATACAACTCCTTTTCAAACAGGCCGGTAGTACGAATGTGAGTGTGTGTGTGTGTGTGGGGGGGGGGGGGTCCCTCACCCCACTTTTTGGGAGAATAGTCTTGTTGTAGTTTAAATATAAAAAAATCATTGATTGATTGCTTGGTCCCTTAAGATTTTGTTGCAGTATGGTTAAACTCGGGCAAGTCATTGCATTTAAAAAAAGTTTTACCGAAAAATTAGAGAAAGTTTCCCCTCAAGTTTAGGCAGTTTATTTTTTTTTCGGGGATGGGGGGGGGATTCTTGTTTTTTTGTTTGCTTGTCAATTTTATGGGACCCCCCCCCCCCCCCACTTTAAAAGCACAGGCCTGTCAAAAACATAATAATGGCCCTTCAAAGGCATAATAATGCCTTTTTGAAAGGCGTATTAATGCCTTTTCAAAAGGCGTAATAACGCCTTTTCAAAAGGCGAAATAACGCCTTTTGGAAAGGCATAATAACGCCTTTTGGAAAGGCGTAATAACGCCTTTTTAAAAGGCGTAATAACGCCTTTTAGAAAGGCGTAATAACGCCTTTTAGAAAGGCGTAATAACGCCTTTTGGAAAGGCGTAATAACGCCTTTTTAAAAGGCGTAATAACGCCTTTTGGAAAGGCGTAATAACGCCTTTTGGAAAGGCGTAATAATACCTTTTTTCGCGTTATAACGCCTTTTGGAAAGGCGTGATTACGCCTTTATTTGCGTTATTACGCCTTTTTCCGCGTTATAAGGCCTTTTCAAAAGGCGTTATTTCGCCTTTTTTCGCGTTATAACGCCTTTTGAAAAGGCGTTATAACGCCTTTTAAAATTTTTTTTACCGTAGTTTGATCCTAATAGGCTTTCGTACAAAATATTGTGCAGGGATTTTGAAGATCTTTTTAAGAAGTCAGGGATTTTGAAAAGCATATTATTTAGAATGTGTCCAATTTTGTTCTCAGTCAAACAAAATGCTTGTACATGTTTACCAATATATATATATATATATATATATATATAAACAACAATTCACACCGCTATAAACTGCATTTGCCAGAGGGTTTTAAATATAAATTGTCGTTACATAGTTTATATAGTTTTCTTTTATTATACAGACCCTTGCACTTCTAGAAGTTGTCAACACATCTGTGTAAACACTCCAGAGGGAGCTGAATGCCTCTGTGCCGAGGGTTACTTGATATCTTCAGATGGAATGACGTGCATGGGTTTGCTATGCCTTATTTAACATTAAAGAATCAACACATTTTTGTTCAGTTATTTAGCGTTAATTGTCATGCACAATGAGATGTAAAATATGACTCTTATTTCAGTCTAGAGGGTGCTGAGATAGGATTTTTTAAAATTAAAATTCTTCATGTAGGGATCTTGGAAACGTAGTTCACCTAGTTTCCAGGTCCACAAAACCTTGTCTCTTATTGTATTTTCTCTACATAAATGATAGAAAAGCAAAATTAACTCTAGATAACATCCCCATCTTTTTCAAGACCCTCTCTCAAAATCTTATAGTTTTTTCTTGGACCAGGAATTTTTCGTACCAAATTTATTGTTTTGTTTGTTTGTTTGTTTGTTTAACGTCCCTTTCGAGAATTTTTCACTCATGGAGACGCCACCACATGCCGGTGGAAAGCTGCATATTTTGACCTTTGCTCGGCACTTAGGGTCATTGAGCAGTGAGGGACCTTTTTCGTGCCAGCACCTACTGCGACACGAGACCTCGGTTTATACGGTTTCATCCGAACGACCGGTCTCCACGTCCCACAGTAGGATTCGAACCCGCGACGTAAAGATCAACTCAGATTTATTGTAAATGCGTGTCTAATTTTCTAAACATATATTGAGTAACCATATTGAGAGACAGACTGCAGACAACAAGGGTAGAAAATTACCTAACGTCAACTTCTTTTTAATTCATCATTGTTTGCAATTAATTTATAAAATGATATATAATAAAAAATTCAAAGATGTTTTCGATTTTTTCAAAAATATATAAATAATTTGTGTAAGTAATATTGGATAATAGTTTTGTACATTTTTTTCCAACAGATCGCTCCTGGTTCCATGAGAAAGGCTTTATCTTGCACAATTCAACGGCGTTTTCGATGTATGAAGTGCATTTCGTCAACGGTAGACGAGGCCGGTATCCTATTTTAACAGTTTCCTCCTCCATTATTCAGACATTTGCTGTTGACGCCAACAGCCATCTTATCTATTTTGTGGACAATAGCAACAACAAATTGAAAGAACTGAATATAATCAGTTTAAAAATTAGAACGTTGACGTCCATTCAATTTGCATCAGGTAAGCTGCTGAAAATGAGCCTCCCATCACAAATAAAAATAAGTAGATATCACACAATTTCATAAAAAATGTTAAAATGTATTATCTATGATAAATTAATGAATACTTACAATGCTTTCTTTTGATGTACCAAATACGTCGAAGTCCAAATTTCCTTTTTACACGGACTCATAATTTGTGATTTAACGTTAGAAAAGAAGTGTCACTGATAAATCATCGTGGGTTGCATAATTATGCTTAACGTAACAGAGGAATTCCTTCTTATTGAATTATCGTACGTAGTATAGTATATATCATTTTGACAAATACTTCAATTTTATCCCTTGCTATCATAGATCTGAATTTTGATTGGATTGCTAATCTTCTTGGATGGATTGAACCTACTTCGTCTAGCATAAAGGCATTTTCAGTTAATTCTGGAACAACGTCAACAATATACATCGGACTTGAACAACCAACTTCATTAACAGTTAACTCTCATAATGGGTTTGTTGATCTATTATTATTACAATGAGTAGACCAAACCCTTGTTGCTTTTTTACTTTATTTCTTGATTTGAAATTAGGTATAATTTGAAAATGCTGGTAGTAGACTATAGTTATGATACAATCCATCCCTATAGATACTTAAAGCAGATTACGTAAACAGCTTTTAATGTAACTTAATCAACAAAGAAAATCAAAAAAGAAGTATGGTAGAGGAGATTGTAAGCTATATTTCATTGTCATGCAGCTCTAGCAAAAAAACTACTCAATTGGATATAATGACTATAAATTTAGTAAACAATATTACATGTAACATGCAATTTCAACATAAAAGATTTCGATATGTTCAAAAGATTAATTTTGCACATGAAAGATTTGAAATATATTTACAAAAGACAAATTAAAGAAAAACAAAACAATTAAACAGTATATTGAGACCAAGTAGCTGTTTATACTCTGCAAAAAACATTAAAATTTGAGGAAAAAATCTATGGCAATTAAAACTACCACTGAATTTATAATAAGAAAGTTTTCCTAGCAGATTCGAGGCACTGTTTCAAAATAAAACTATTTCTAAATCTTTATATGATTTAAAAAACATTATGATGATATTTTTCAATGAAAAATAAATATTTCTATTTTGTAATGATATTGTTCTAATGATATTAGATAATATATGATAATGATATATATATAATATATGATAATATATGATAATGATATTGTTCCTTTAGAGACCTTTATTGGATTTCGGGAATATTAGGAAAGTCCATAATGAATGGAAACTGGAATAGAAATTCTCCTCGTACAGTTGTGTCAACTGCAAACCTGAATGACCCCAAATCTCTCCTTTATGATGTCACAAGCAACCGGTACATTTTAAAGTTACAAACTATACTGTAGTTTAACGTGTACTTTTCCTATCATATTAAAAGATCAAAAAATGACATTTTCACACAAAAAATTTCAACTAGAATGAGTTGTTTTTACATTTTTTATTTAAATAACACGATTTTACTTCACCCATTCTCAGCATTAATGTGCAGTTGTTGTCGCTATTAGAAAACTGCTCCGTAATGCAGCTTTTCTAAAACCTGTGAAACAAGAATCAATAAACTAGAACGTAAAAGTTTAAAATTTATGCCATGTTATAGATATGAAGTAACATTTACTGATGCTGCTAGGTCAGTTGCATTTTATTGATGTAGCTAAACATTCATATATCTTCATGTTTCAGGTGCATAATATATATCGCACTTACAACTTAAACCCTAAATATTTTATTATGTATAATGAAGAATGTCTTTATAGACAAATGGCTTTCTATTAATCCCAATAGTAAGTAAATCATGTGCATTTCAAACGCCCATTCTCTTTTTATAGCCGAAAGACCGATATTAACATTAAACCCCATGGTTGTATTTCTGATGATACGTTATATATGTTGCATTTATACCGAGTATATCCAATTCGGTTATCATCAATAAACTTTTTAATTTGTTCCTCGTCTCTATAGGGAGGAAGAAAAATGAATCATTACTTGCAAAAAAATGCATACGTTACCAATACATCCAAATGTAAGAGAAAGAAATTTTACACTAAAGTCTTATTCGTGTACCACATGCTTCTACATGTATTACAATATGCCACTTTAATTGATAATTAAAGAAAATTACATGTATGATTAAACACAGATATTTAATCAAAATTAAATTAGTACTAGTATTTCATAATAAATCTAATAAAATTTGAAATGTTTGGATGCCTATGTAACATTCAGTAACGTAGGTATTAGCTACTTTATCCCTTTTCTTTGATAAATAGAAAAAAAAAATACGATGGTTTTTATGACTGTAGGGATACGTTAATAGTACATATAACTTTTAAATGGTAGTTACTCTCGCTTACGTTATCATCTGTCTGTCTCCTTCTGATTTTACTCATCACGACATCTTTTATTTCAAAAGATGGCCAAAAATGTTGATTATGGTACAGGTCTAAACCATTAAAATAAACCTGGCAATGCAATCGACAGCTTTTAGCCTTTTATATACAAATCATATTTTAAAAAAAAATTATCAGATCTGATCACGTATGTATATCTTTTTTTACGTTTCGACAATAACATTAATTTTTATCATTTGTTAATTTCAAGGCCAGAATCTGAATTCTCAAAATACTTTTTAAACTTATCTTTATCAAGCAAACAGACAGTGCATTCTTATTAGTATTATTGTTACCAACTGACGTTATTCTCGTCCATTCTTACATTAGCTCTGAGTCTCGTACATAACTTCTGAGGCTGTAATTTGTGTGAATAAAAAGTTGATTATTTTCGTTGTTCTCACATTTATTGATAGACAATAGTCCACTCAGTTCAAATGGAATGAATTTTGTTTTTCATTTTAATAGTTAAATTTAACATGGTATTGTAACATATACATCATTTATGTCATTAATTTTTTTCGGTTGCCCTACAAAACAGCTTTCTTTACTTTTAAATTAATTACCTAAATACTACAAATTATTGGCCTTGCAATAAATAAAAAAATGTCCTAGTTAATAAATATCCTCTAAAGAAGTTAGAACGCCGACATTGTTTTATTTCATTACCAATAATTATAATAACGTATATATTGCAGTGATCTCAGGGATAAAAAGTCTTGTATTTTTGTCAAATTTTACATCGTCAGAAAAGTGTAATAGATTTTTCGTGATATAAATCAGTTATCTGTTGTTAACCTAACGTACACCAAAGTTTTTGGAGTTTCAAATATACCCTGTTTGCACATTATTATTGAGGATGGTCGTTTTACTAAATGTTCCTACAAAATAATACGTAACCAAGAACAAGAAAAAAAGACTTGTAATTGAAATTGGTTTCAGGAAGAAATAATCAATTTATAAGTCATTTTATATCTAAGGTTGTATTGGGTTGATGATTCAATGATCAAAAGTTCATCGACAAATGGATCCGATATTAAAAGCCACGTCATCACGTTTGGTGTAACACAGGCATTTGCATATAAGGTAAAAAAAAAGGGTTTCTAAAATTTTAAGGAATTTAAGTGTTATGCCAAAAGTGTACAGATCTAGAGTGTAATTGACAATGCCATGGTAATTTTTTTTTCTTCATTTCATTCTTAAAGACTTCTAACAGTTTCTTTTATTGACAAACGCGTGATAAATCATTTCAATAAGAATGGTGTGTATCCAACCAAAAGTAAGTAGATCTTTTTGAATAATAAATATGGCTCTTTAAACGAAGTATGTTTGCATTTATTTATGCATGTATGGTATAGATTAAGTTTATAAAATCATACATGTAGATATAAAGATATAATTACTAGGATAAGGCTCAGTTGTAAAAACTGCATTGAGCTTATTTTCAATAAAACAAACATGTGAAAAAAATTCTTTTCAGGGTTATTTAGGCTGGATAATGGGGAACAAAATGTACTTCTCTAGAAAGTCTTCAAAGACTGCAGAGAGATATGTAGACATCGGAGAAAATATCAAAGGGGTGGCCATCTTCGATTCGTCTCTGCAAGAGGATAAAAGAGGTGTTCATTGTTAAAAACGTGTTATCCTTGTGTCATATAAGATAGTGTAAATTTGTACTCTAGGCACCTGAGCAACAAAGAAAAAGATCGAATTGTTTATTTTAACTCTTATGATGAACTGAGATAGGAATACAAGTTTGGCTTTCCAGAAAGCCAGAAATGTCATCTCTTTGGCTTCATTAATGTCACAGAATAAACAGTGGAATGTTATATTATTTTCTCAGCTATTACAGGCAGTAGTATCGCTTTTGAAAAAATGGGGGGGGGGGGGGTGGAGGACAAAAAAAAAATCGACGATTTATCTGAACAATCTTTGACAAGGGGAAAAAGGGGTTATCCAAACTCAACATTTTCATTTCTTGGAAGGGAAGGAGGGATTACAACTTTTCCGACAAACATATTTTATATTATAATACATTCTCATGGGATGATTTGACGTACCATACTGCAACAAAAGGTGGAAGAGGGGTCAAGGGTGCGCCTTTTCAATGTTTGGGGAAAAAAGTGGAAGGGACGGCCCTCCTGGTGCTATGTACCTGTATTATTTTACCTGTTGTAAATATGCTCTATTCAGTTTAAATATATTTTGTATAATGTCTGTAAAAAATTCTAACCACTGAGAAATATTCGTAAGAATTATTTAAAATCATATATTGCATTTTTTTTTATAAGTTCAGACTACCTAAATTAAAAAGATCTTTCTATTTGTTTTATTACTTTATATAAAAATAGGACTTTCCTGTAAATAACACAATCTAAATCAATCACGTTTCAAAGATATTAGAAATTTAAAACAAAAACCGATTTATTTACCGATTCAGATTTTAATTAACAGACACAGTTTAATTTTTTTTTAATCAGTCGAACTATGGAAACATAAGGTTATTCAAGTTCAAAATCGATGAAAAATTTAATTTCAACGTAAATAACATATATCATGTTTAGCTACAGCCTATCTCGTATTTTTATTTTTTTAGCTCAGATACGCCATAGATAGCTCTAACAATTATTCCGAAAGAAGATGGATAAAAACTCAGCGTTCCTTTTGATTTTAGTCCTTAGCCGCCTACTACGGCAGCAAAGAATTCTTAAGAAAGGCCGCTTACATAATCTATCAATACGATGTCAGTTAGACCTGTTCGATAAAATTGTTTAGCCTATATTGTTGTACGGATGTGAAGTATGGGGATTTTCGAACAATGCAATTGTAGACAGAGTACATCTAAAATTTTGTAAATTACTTCTTAATCTTAAACAATCTACTCCGGACTGTATGGTGTATGGTGAACTCGGTCGACATCCCATGTCCATTGAAATACAAACGCGTATTATTTCCTATTGGTGTAAACTTAAACTTGGAAAAGAAACAAAAATATCAAGTCTGCTGTTTAAATTAAGTGATACCGTAAATCAAAAGACTAAGAAGATTGCTTGGATAAATAATGTCTTAAATATCTTAAACGATTGTGGACTTTCAAATATTTGGAACAGTCAAGCCTTCAATCCAAATTGGTTAAGAGCGAAAGTAAAACTAACTTTAATAGATCAATTTAAACAAAAATGGAATTCGGATGTTCAAAATTTATCAAAGACCCTAAATTATAGAATATACAAAGACGAACTAAAATTTGAAAAATATTTAGAAATTCTATCACGAAAAGAAGCCATAAATTTCTGCAAATTCCGTACTTGTAATCATTATTTGCCAATTGAAACTGGACGTTGGTTAAATGAACCAAGAGAGATTAGACTATGTAAGAAATGTCAATTAAATGAAATAGGAGATGAATTCCATTACATTTTAAATTGTACGGCAATGACACGTGAAAGAAATAAATGTTTAACACAAAAACAATTACGATTCAAAAATACAATTACATTTAGAGAAATAATGAATTCAGATAACCAGTCATTTGTAAGAAAACTGTGTATATTTATTAAAAAAAAATTACTAAAACGTGCTCCCCAAACTAGTAAAGACCTAAACCTATAATTGTACTATTTGTCTATCCTCATACTCACGCATGCCATATATGTGTTTTTATTTTTCATCATTGTAGTTTACATTTATATCTCGTTATACAATTGTAAAATTGTGAAGAGATCAATAAATTCAGTTCAGTTCAAAAGAAGTTTTAAATCGCCAACTTAAATTAATCTGAACCTGAATTAATTCCCAAGACTTTCCTTATTTTCCTTAATCGTATCCTCTGAAGTGACTTGGCCATCGAGCCACTGGGATTTGATTGATTATCGAGCCACTGGGAATATCAAGGGGAAAATTGAGACACTCCTGCATCATGCCCTTCTGCTGCCCATGCAGATTCATGTTCAAATGCTATATTATGTATAATATAAGTACATGTACATGTATACGCTCCTGGGAAAAAATCATGCATAGAAAGGTAATAAAATTGAAACGTTACCATTTAAAATTAAAAGAACCCCAATCTACCAACATCGATTTTATAGGCTGTTCCATGAGACACACATTTAAAATTTATAATTTTGGCTTTATTTCAAGAATACGAGGAGTGATTTTTTTTTTTACCTTTTCTCATTGACAAAAAACGCAAATTAGAATTGCATAAAGAAAATGATAACAGTTGCTTTGTTTATTAATTCTTAAAATCTGGGCCAGGTAAAGAAAACTGTATCTTTTCCAATGCTTTTCTACAGGGGTAAATTTAAATAAAAAAGAATATAGTGCACACATCCAAGAAAATACTCACAATGATTCTTTATGATCTTTATTCCAATGCCTGCAGCACTGAGTTACTTAAATCAGAGATATTTATGTTTCTGCCTAAATTGTGCTTTTAGGTAAAATTTCTTTTCTTCGATTTTTTTTTTTTTTTTTTTTTTTTTTTTTGAATAAGTTTTGTTTTATTTTTCTTATATATACGGCATTAATTATCGATTGACTAAAGTGCACATAAAAGTGAAGTCTTTGCCATTGTATATATGCATTTAATGTGAGTTGTTATTTAAATGTTTTCACTGTTTTCTTTCGTCAGTAAATCTTGGATCGCCGCCTTGGTTTATACATTCAATATGCCATGTTTTGTGTATTTTGATCCCCGCACGCTGACCATCGTTTTACGCAATGGCCTAGATACAATGTTTATGTATATAAACCGTTAATAAAGACCACCACCCAAGTGATCCTACCTCTATTACTCTTAATGAACACTGGTGTAGTTTTACTTTAACTTTAAGATGGACCATTTTGTTTAATAATAATAAGACAGACTTTGGTCAATTTTGTTTACATCTCTATATTTAGAAATCGTGTCATCGTCAGTCCCTTTGGCACACCACCAGCTTATCAATGGCAGCTTACACTAGGACTTTACTTCCGGTGATTCAAACTTAATGTGTCATCTCCCGAGGGAGATGACAATAACCCCATTAATATTTCTTAGAATTTCCACTCCAAATTTAGAAAACATCATAAAACATTTCATGATATATTTTAATTTTTAGAATCACGTATACAGTGTATACAAAGGAGAAGGTCTCACCAAAATATTAGTTGATTCTTATATGTAAACGACTTTTAATTCTTCAATAAATTTTTCTTTTGAGATATTCAGTTAATCGAATCTAGCTTTATCAAAAGGTATTCATGCATGTTTAAACATTTACATATGCTAAAAGTAGAATATTTTAGTTTTGAATTCCAACAAATCAGTGCCGTCATCGTGTTAAACAGATAAGTATAATAATTAAGGGCTTTTTGCAATCTATTCAGTGAGTTTCCATTGGATATTCGATATAAAATTTTGATATCAGTTACTGCAATTTGATTACCTTAAGATTTTATTATAAAATCACTTTTAACTCGTATGTATATTTGTTAACTCCTTTATTACAGTTGTAGCAAACAATTTTCAACCAATTTATCTGTACACTAATTAACCATTAATGATGGATTATACTAAAACATTATCATTTTGGAATCAAATTTGATATTATTTTACTATTTTTTTTCCACATGTTTTAATGATCTGAAACATTTATCTGGAGAGAATATTATTACCTATTCAACATATTTTTAATTTTTAAGGCAGCTGTCATTTACTTAATGGTGGTTGTCAAGATATTTGCTTGCCGTTACAAACTGGTCGTGAGTGTGAGTGTGATTTAGGTCTTAAGCTTCAGCCTGATTTGAAAACATGTGATAGCAGTGAGTATTTTCGTGCATATTTATTTTTTATTGTTAATGGAATTTGTTTAGATGTTTAAAACACTTTCCAATTTAGATTTGAAAATATTCACATGATTTTTAAATTCCAAGAACTTTATTATTACCTAAAAAAAAAATGGTTTTAAATTTGATAGAAGCTTACACGTCGAATTTCATCGTGGTGTCTGATTATTCCCATGGGAGGATGCTTCAGATTAACATAGACAAAGGTGGTCTCGTAAAGCTGCCTATAAGTACAGGGAATTCTGCAGGAATAACATTCGATAAAACTACAAAGGAACTCCTGTATTGTGATCGCTCCACGAAGAATATAATGTCTTCTTCACTCCATGGAGGGAACACCACTCTGGTCTATGCAACTGGTAAATCTGATTTAATGATAGGAACTGATTTATTGCGAACATATTCGTAAATACCCCCCTCCCCTAAATATTATCTTAAATGTAATTGCCTGGACATCGTTGTTACTTTATATAACAGGCTTTGTGAATCCTGAACGTATGGCGATTGATTATTCAACGGGAAATATTTACTACACTGCGGTAGGGTCAACATCGAGTCAGAGTTATATTGGTGTTATTCATAGAACTACCTTTCAGCATAAGACATTGTTGTCTGACCTTCACAGTCCAAGAGAAATAGTGGTATATCCGTCAAAAGGGTAGGTTTGGCCATATATAGCCATAGGTCATTTTTCATCATGTTTTTGATTTTGAGATCACTGCAAAAATTAAAAAAAATTACTTTGCTTTTTTTCTTATACATGTAATTAGTTTCTTGTTTTGGACGGAGTTTGGGAATCTAACTGAAATAGGAAGAGCATATATGGACGGGTCATCAAAAACATATATTGCAACAACTGATATTGGATGGCCTAATGGTCTTGCAATTGATTTTATATGTAAGTAAATGTAAATGATATACATCTACATTCAAGATCAAGTAAAAAATTACCTGTTTTAAAATTTATTATCTTTTTAGCCGACAGAATTTACTGGACAGATGGACAGAAAAACCGCATTGAATTCTCAGATTTAAATGGAGGAAACAGACGTGTTTTGACAACTGACAATGATGCACATTTGATGAGCATTGTGGTTCACGGACAGTATCTCTATTATACCGCGTGGAATCGGCAGTCAGTATTTTTCTGTCATCTTATATCTTTTAGAAACTGATTTTCGTATAAAATCTGACAAATATGTCCTTAATTGCTTTTTCCCATTGCATTGCTCATGCAGACGGATAACAAAGATGCACAAAACAACAGGATCAAAAGTCACCTTTATGTCAAACAACCCTGAGCTTGGTCGACTTGACAGTCTTGCTATATACGCAGACGATGTAGTTGATGGTAATCAGTACCCTCTGAGTTAAATTACGCATTCCAAAGAATTTGTTTTTGTCCAAAACCATGAAAGGCTATTTCACTTTCTTATAGTGAGTTTAAGTTGTTCCCAGAAAAACGGCGGCTGTAGTACGTTCTGCTTTCCCAAACCAACAGGAAGAACATGTGGATGTCAGGACAATGTTGATTTACAACCAGACCAAACAATATGTCAAGGAGGTTCATATTTAACAAGTCATTTTTCTATGTCAATAAAATAGCTAATGATGGTACTTAAGTTTTGGAATTGAATTAATGGAATGTCTTGTTGTAGCGTAAATGTCACATATAACGTAATATTTTTCCGTGTTTTTAAACATATTTTTACTTTTTGCAGTATCTCGTTGTACCACTTCACTACAGAATATATATTTACTCGATTGTCTCCCATATCCTGGGCAGGTTTGCAATATAGAGTGTAAAGCTGGATACAGACTAGATGTCAACACGTCTATTACATGTGATACTTCTGGACAATGGAATCCTTCTGCATCTTCTTTATGTACAGGTGAATTTCTGAAGTAATAAATCATAAATTATGAATAAGGTGTAAATTTAACATTGAAAAATTCCATTTGTAGGATTTTTTCCTACTACATGTAAAAAGTATCTTTAATATAGATACTAGGTAAAATGAGAACAGGTAACCTCAAAACATCATCTACTTGTTCTCTCTCCCTCTATCTAATCTCTCTCTCTCTCTGTCTCTGTCTCTCTGTGTGTGTGTGTGCTGCTCGCTTGAATATAATTATAACATATTTGATTATAATAATTATTTCAATCAATATTCTTTCATAGAAATATTGTGTCCATCACCTGTTGGAAATGTTATGCTGTCATCAATTTGCACGCGAAGAGTGGGTGACTCGTGCACATTCAAATGTGCTGAAGGCTACATCTCGACGATTTCACAGAACTTGCTTTGTACAAATGATGGTACCTGGAACTATGACACCAAAAACTTATGTATACGTAAGGAGAACAACAGATTAGTGAATAATAAAAAGAAATACTGAGTATATGACAAAATCAAAAAAAAAAGGACAAATGGATCAAGTTTACTTTTCAGGAAAAAATCAGCAGATTTTCAAAAAAAAAAAAAAAAAAAAAAAACACCCACGTAATATGTCTATATATACAACTGTGTCATATCTCTCAGGAACATAATTAAAGTGAGGGAAAAAATATTATATTACATGTATGCAAACTGTCAATCCAGCGCACAATTTAGAAGTATTAAATGTATTTACTAGCTTTTCATAGTATTTCCGTTTCAAGTCTCCTGGAATCTGACCGAATGCCCCAGGGTAGGCTGAGTCCATCATGTTTTGAAAATTCCTTATATTTGACAAATATTATTTGCTTTCTGGATGTCTAGAAGGCAAACTGTTTACATGAGTATAATGAGTAATTGGCTTTCAACAAAATTTACGAAAACTATTGTTTCTATGTATAACTTCGGACCCCAGAATAGGGTTAAGTTCGTCATGAATTAAAATTTCGAAATTGGCGTTCCCTGAGCTAATTAAGCATCTAGGGTGATGCAAGCTGGTGCATCTATTGAAAAACATTTTTAAGAATCTTCTTCACTCTTAAAACATCTAGAATATAATCATTAACATATCTTCCAAGTTGTAAAATCCATGTCACATGGGTCTGGAAGTCAAACTCTAGGTGGAACTGAGTTGGTCTCAGCCTAAAATCTCATTTGTATGTTTATCAGGTGCTTCTTTTAAAACACTTATTGACATAAACAAAAAATGAACTCTTAAGTCATGAAATGTTTCTCCAAAACGCAAATTTATCAACATCAGTGTAATTAACAGGTTCTGGTTGTTCAAAGACAATACGAAATGGTCAACTAATCAACTGTGAATCAACACTAGGAGAAACATGTCGATATGAATGCAATAGTCAACTGGAAAACAATCCATCTGTTCCAAATGTTACATGTAACACAAGTGGTAACTGGGATCACGATACAAATGATCTATGTGGTAGTGTATATTCATTCTAAAGCAAAGCGTAATCTAAAATTTATTGATTGTATGTTCTTTTACGTCCCATTCGAGATATTTTTTCATATAGTGACCATTTGCTATTATACAACATAACCGATGGTTACATTTAATATGAAATATAAACATATGTATAAACATATATATGCATAAAATATATATTTGTATCCTACTCTAGTACAACTGTGTCCTTCAACTATTCGTAATGGAAACTTAAAATCAGATTGTCAAAGAAAAGTTGGATATAGCTGTTTATTTACATGTGACAGTGGCCATAAATCTATAATTTCTTCTTCAAATATTGTGTGTACCTCGGATGGCCTTTGGAACGAAAATACCAACGAATTATGCCAACGTAAGATAATTTCTTTAATTTTCTTGTCACATAGTGTACTTTGATACTGCAAATTTAAAAGAGCAAAGTAAGACAATTTCATTCTTCAAACGCACCGATGGCATTTGCATACAAAGCACTTGTAAGTGAATACAGATGTTCTTTCTTAATTCAACATTATTTTTGCTTTTTAATACATAGATTTGTTTTGTTTATTTGTTGTTTAACATCCCTCTCGAGAATTATTCACTCATATGGAGACGCCACCACTTGCCGGCGGAGGGCTACAAATTTTGACCTATACTCGGCACTTAGGGCCATTAAGCAGTGAGGGATCTTTTTCGTGCCAGCATCTACTGCGACACGAGACCTCGGTTTATAATGTCTCATCCGAAAGACCGATCTCCACGTCCTGCAGTAGGATTCGAACCCGCGATGTAAGGATCAACTCCTTACTCCACTACTCTAGAGCAGACGCTCTAACCATGTCAAATGGTAATATCTCAAGTATTGATAGTTATCATGAGAAGTCAGGTATTTGGAAGGACATGCATGTTTCTTCTTTTAATACATAGAAGAAACATGCATGTCCTTCCAAATACCTGACTTCTCATAAAAACTATCCATACTTGAGATATTACCATTTGACATGTATATTAAATGAAAGAATTTCCACTGATTTAATAAATTGACCATAAACTTGTGTCAAATGTAAAAACAATTTGTTGTCTCCCTAATAGGATAAACTTAGTTCTTTATGCACAGCTTTGCATTATTTTATCTTACAGAACAAGTAAATTAATATAAATGATGTAATGCATCTTGTATATTTAGCCAGCCCATCCACGAGTGAGGATAAAACAATTGCGTACATTGGAATGTCAGCAGGTATTATCCTTGCCATTATAATAATTGCGGCTGTTTGCTTCACGTACCGCAGAAAACCACATGTTGTTGGGTAAGATTATACTGGTAAAAGGGTGTCTTAAAATGCACTAAACTTAAAAAAAAGTTTTGATGTAAATTAGTTTGATGACGAATAACATCATCACAAGGCTATTTAAAAAGCATTATGCACCTGGGGAATTGCAATACCAGCTTATTATTTTCACTCCCTCTTTCATTGCCATTTATTACCAATACATGTACTATACTTAAAGGAACAGAAGCACTAAATAAACATGGTATATAACTTTCATTCAATGAGGTATAAATATAAATTTTTAAATAGAGCTATTTCAATTATAGACAAGAATACCAGAGTGCTTCTGCAGCTCGTAATAATATCTATGCAACGTTCAAAAATGGTGGATATATGACTGATAGCAGTGATTTACCAGAGAGATCCGTTTCTGATGTGTACTGCTCAATTGACGACACCTTCGCTACTGAATACGAAGAACCGCTTAAAGATACCTACCTGAACCCTCTCACATACTGATAAATTATCATTTTAATAAACGTTTATTTAATGTAATGTTCCTACATGTATATATGATTAACTTCCACGAGCAATGTTGCTGTGACGTATTTTTTTTTTGCTAGACCCATAATGTTGACTACATAGCTTTGACAATCTTAATGATACTTTCTTGAAATAACAATGATCATAGTCAGCAACCCTAGTTGTGCGTTTTACATAAAAAAATTTTAAAGAAATTACATTTGCCATTGAAACAGAAGAAATATCCAAACAAAAAAAATTAAACCGCTTAGCATAATTTTCAAACTTAGAAAAATCGTTTCTTGTATCATATCAAAGTGTGTTATGATTAGCAATAAAATAATATATGTTGTACAAAGTATGTCACTGTTGAAATAAACGTTTATTTAAATAAATGTAACGTTCCTACATGTATATATGTTTAACTTCCCCGAACAACGTTTCTGAGACGTATTTATTTTGCTAGACCCATAATGTTGACCGCGAAGTTTTGACAATCTTAGTGATACTTCATATTTTTTTTTCATTGGATATTTTACTTGAAAAAGACTTAAATGGTAATCTAACAACCAAGCTTTATGATAAACGTGATGACTTTAACATTTCAATAGTCAACTTCCCTTACTTATGCAGCAATATTCCTTCATCACTTGCATACGGGGTTTATATCTCTTAGTTGATTCGATACGCAAGAGCATGCTCTACGTATGCACAATTTCTAAAACGAGGTACATTATTGACAAACAAGTTGATGAAATATGAGCTGTCTCGTTTAAAGTCATCATTTCGTAAGTTCTATGGTCGATACAATGACCTTGTCCGCAAATAATATTTATCATTGAGTCAAATGCTGTCTGACATTTTTCATACTAATTGTTAGGCCATTATTTACACACTGAATTGTCGACGGACTTTTCTGTTATTTCCCGATCATGACAAGGAGCACAAGGCGGGTGTGGCCGGTCGGCAGGGGATGCTAACTCCTCCATGGCACATGATCCCAACTCTGATGTTTGGAGGTCCGTGTTTGCTCTGCTCCTATTTTCTAATGTTTTATGGACTTTTGAGCTTGAATACTGTTCGTTATCTTCATATATTTCATTCTACAAATAACAGTCATAATCAACAACCCTAGTTGTGTTTTTTTATTTATGAAATTTTTTATAGAAATTAGATTTGCCATTGAAACAGAAGAAATATGCAAAAAAAAAAAAAAAAAATTAAACCGCTTAGCATAATTTTCAAACTTGGAAATTTTTTTTCTTGTATCATATCAAAGTCTGTTATGATTAGCAATAAAATAAAATATGTTTTACAAAGTATGCCACTGTTGAAATAAATGTTTATTTAATGTAACGTTCCTACATGTATATATGTTTAACTTCCCTGAACAACGTTGCTGTGACGTTTTTTTTTTTTTGCTAGACCCATAATGTTGACTGCGAAGCTTTGACAATCTTAATGATACTTCCTAGAAATAACAATCACAATCAATCAACAACCTGAGTTGTGCTTTTTGCATATGAAATTTTTAAAGAAATTACATTTGCCATGGAAACAGAAGAAATTTGCAAAAAAAAAAAAAAAAAAAAAAAATAACCGCTTAGCATAATTTTCATACTTAGAAAAATTGTCTCTTGTATCATATTAAATTGTGTTAAGATTAGCAAAAAAAAAATGTTGTACAAAGTACGTCGCTGTTGTTATTGTCAACGCGAGAGAGAGAGAGAGAGGGTTTGCTTTTCATTTTGTTATGGGAGGTAGAAAAATTACTGTCACGTGACCACTATTTATTGACATTGCCCTGGTCATAGTTCTTGAAAATGCTAATTTTTGTGTATATTGGAGTCCTGTTTATCTAGACACTTTATCTTCCGAACTAAATTTATGTGGAACGATTCATATTTTAAAAAAACCAAATCAATAAAACATATGACTCAGTTAACCGGACGCTTTATAAATATGAACAATTTGCTCAGAAAAACAGCACCAAGATTAACAAGGCTCCGCTGAATATATTTCAGGAATAACTGTCATCTCTTCTGCCACTTTCTACCATTAGCTCATGCACTCACCTCTGTAGATGGCTTGTGTATATCAGAGTGCTAAGCACGAAAATTAGTGTGTTTGATTAAATTAATAGTAGTTAATGCCCGTGCTTATTTTGTCAAGGAAGATATTTACTAAGTAGATATATAACTATTAGTTTAATTTAAAATAATTCTTTGAATATCATGCTATTTCAAAATCCTGACGCGAGCCCATTGCAGAGGTGTCTGCTGTATATACACAAGTATGTGCATGTACCTTCTTTGATTTTTTGGATGCTCTTCTACATCAGAGGAACGATAAATCTTTCAAAAAAGAAATATCAGTTGTTTTTTTTTCTCGAATAAATATATAATTCACAAAGTTGTCGAAGTAAATATACAATTCGTTCGAAAAATTCCGTTCAAAAAAGTTTAATATACTTTTTTTCTAAGGAAGAACTTATTTGTCAACACAGATGTCTTGTTTTCGAAGGAAAAACAGTAGCACACTTGACGCAGTTGTTAGAGCGTTTGCTCTGGAGTCGCGGAGTAAAGACTTGATCCTTAGGTCGCGGGATCGAATCCCACTGTGGAGACCGGTCCTTCGGATGACCGAGGTCCCGTGTCGCAGTAGCTGCTGGCACAAAAAGATATATCACTGCTCAATGGCACCGAGTGCCGAGATTAGGTCTAAATTTGCAGCCCTCTACTGGCAAGTGGAAGGCGTCTTCATTGAGGGAAAGTTTCTAGTAAGGGACGATAAACAACAAACAAACAAAGGTTTAACTTTCTCCAATATCGCTTGCAGTAGTCAATCAAATACAGATGACACAACGATTGCTTTAGAATACCATAATTATGATACCAAAAAACTTCAGGCATTCATTTTACTCGGATGATAAATTGGGGTCAATTTTAGTTGACATATATATGAAAAAGCTTGCAAAAGAAAGTTCCGTAACCAAGTACAATTTGGCCTAAATTAGAACAATTAGATGAATATCAATTGTCATTCCATTTTAAAAAAAATATAATAAAAACATTAAACATGTAATTAAATGCAGAAGAACCACATTGTTAAGATTTAATAAAAAAAATATGTCCATGGAATCATATGGATATATCATGTTTAGATAACCATAACATATTTATAATTATAATGATAATACATGTATCATGAATTAAAGACAATAATTTCTCAGTGGATGGACGTGGTTGTATGAAGTTACATGTAATGTAATAAGCACTTTGTAGATTCTCTAATCCAGCTGAGTATATCTGTAACTTACTGTTCATCATCAAAGCTCTTAATTTTGGAAAACGATAATACTTATTATAAGGGTTTTCTGTTTTATTGATATATTTCACTGGAATTGGCATTAAATGCATGTACTCTAAGTGACTACAGGTACATGTAGAAATTTTCATAAGATTTGATGAAGTGATGGAGAGTAATAAAGCTAAAAAATGTCTTTATTGGAGAGCCATGAAAGACAGGTTTAACAAACCGTTGCATTTCCTCGTGCCGATTGTTAAAAGATTTAGATTAGAAATCGATACGGCTCAAAATAAAAAAATATTAATCTGATACATATGGTTTCCGTAATCATTCATATGAAAAAACAAACAAACAAAAAAACATCAGTTTAATCGTTCTTGGACTCCTGATCTCAATAGGCCATAAAAATTAAAAATTTTGAAAATAAAATTTATCGAATTTTCTCAACGTCTTACTTATTCTTTTATTTCTTTCCTGGGAAATAATAAAACGTGTAAAATAAAACTCCCTATAATCTGCTTTCCTTCTGTTTTGAGAGATTTGTTTATGTCTAAAATTTCGATTTAAGAAACTGCTAAAATAAAAGATTTATTAAATAAAAAATATATAATTACAGGAATGCTCTTGAAAATTAATTAAATCATATGCTATATATATTGTAAGGTAATATACGTAACCTCTATCAAAAATACACCCGGATTTTTGAAATTTACAGTTCCTTTTTGAAACTACTTCACCCATGCTCTAGTTTCTTGACGGGTAAAGCTTGATCTACTTTACAGGCATGCGTGATAGTAATATATACAGGCCCGTAGGAAGCAATTTCAGTTTGGGGGGCACAGCCATAAATTTTTAGTTGGGGGGGGGGGCACTATGATAAAATAAAGTGCTCAAAATTCCTTGACAAGCAAAAAAAAAAAAAAAAAGGTCATCAGACGTTTTTATTGATGGAGCACTAGCATATAGTAGCTGTTTTCTATAGTGATCTATATATAGGCAAAATTATTTGGGGTACACCCCCCCCCCCCTTAGGCTTGTTAAACAAAGTTCAATTATTTCGTTTAAATTTAAAACTACCTTTTTAGTCCAGAAATAACAGAGTAGTGTTAATTACTCTCTTTTTGTACAATGAGAGTAGTATATATAACTCTGATTCATAAGTTAAACTTTTGTAATTGCGTTATTAAAATTACAAAATTATTTAGCAATTTAATGGTAAGTACTCTTCAATGTATTTCCTTTATGACATTAATTTTATTTTCAGAATGATTCAATAACAATGACCTTACTTATAAAACAACCTTTCTTTGGGCGGTATTTTAAGTTCAATATTACATATCAATTGTTAGATCATTGTTTTCATATTAATATTGACTACAAATTGTACGATTTCTATTGCTTAAAAATATACTGGTACTGATTCGAGTACTCGTATATCCTTAAGAACGAAGGTTTGCGATATACTAAAATTCAAGATTACACAGAGGGTCCTTTCGTTTTCGAAAGTAAATTGACCATTGAACTATTAAATACATTTTTAATAGTTCAGAATGTCCATGAGGAACTGTGACTAGTTGTTTCAGGAATAATTCACTTCCCTGATTTAAAAAAAAAAGAATTCTATAGCCTAATACAATTTCCTTCAAAAAATATTATTAGAAACTTAGTACATGTAGAAATCATTAATCCTTCAGGGGCGCCGACATCATGTTTCTTTCTGTTTTTTCAAAAACTGTCAAATGAATTCTTATAGTTTTTGTTGATATCCCCCCCCCTCAAGAAAAATTAAATGTGAAAATGCTGAATTAATGAAAATTGAAGAAAGCGTTCTTCAGCTACCTATATTGATGATATAAAGGACATTCATAAATACTAACCGAATCTCTTTCCAGACCATTTGATATATTCTCAACATCAAAAATTTACATGCGTTATGAAATTTTCCCGCTCTCATAAAATGAACTAATCAAAATTTATTTCTTTTGAGATGACCTTGGAACTTTTTAATAATTTCTAGTGTAGAATAACCATTTTTAAAACTTTATTCTATACTAACACCGATTAAGGTTGCCGTTAAATCGTCATTTGAATAAAATCATCCATGAAAGTAAACGAAACAAACTGAATTCAACTCTAAATAATTCGTTTTCTTTGCTGGAAAATACACTTTGTCATTAAGCATCATAATATATATACAGGAATAATACTGTACTAAATAATGAATTGCAAAAATAAATTATGATTTAATTATGAACTTCTGTACTCGAAAGAACCAAATATACATGAGTTAAAAGATAGATGAACTAAATGTTTCTCTAACAGAAAATTGTACTATCTCAACTCTACGTTGGTCTAGAAAGATTTGGCAGTTTTCTTTATCAATCTTTAGCAATGCGTCAGGTAAGTTTTAATATATATACATTGATTTAAAAGCTAGACTTTAAATATATTCTCTTTTACTTCACTTTAATTGATTAAAGTTGTTTTTTTTTTAAATCATATTTATGTGTAAAGGACAAAGTCTTCAAACTTTGGTAAACTTTATCACGAATTCGATTCGTGTTTTCGTGAAGAGGTCATTAAAATCCACTTCCTTATCGGGTCCTTCCATATAAGTTTAAAACTGATATTTTTTTTGATGATTTATCGATAACTGGATGAGACTTGTAGTTTTGCAGATAAAGATCGTAATCTTCAAAGAATTCGAGAAGGTGAAATAAGGTGAATTAAGCTAAATCATTCCAAGAAACTTAAAAATCTACTTCCTTATCGGGTCTTTATATATTTGATTAAAACTGATATTTTCCTGATCATTTATCGACAACTGGATGAGACTTGTAGTCTTGTAAATAATGATTGTAATCTTCAAAGACTTCGAAAAGGTGAAATAAGGCGAATTAAACAGAATCATTCCAAGGAACTTGAAAAATCAGTTTATAACTTAAAGGTAATGGATGGACAATCTATCTTATTTCGTTGCACTCAAGCAGAATATACCATCGAATTTTGTTTTAATCAAATTCAGTCATCAAAGTTTGCCAATACCCACGAGCGATCCTTATCCCTGGGACATACGTTAATGCTTGCGTCTGTACTCGATAAGCATGAAAAATGGATTGAAGAAAGCAAAAATAAGAATGTTAATAAAGCTAGTTTGTTTAAGTACCTTCAGGATAATTCAAGGAAAAATTTCCTTACAAGGTCATCATTGGTTCGGTGGTTTGGAACGTATGACCACAAGTCGTTAGGTAAGTCGGCTTATACAATTATCTTTTGTTTCTGGCTCATTTATATAAAATTAATAAGTTCAAAAGAATAAGTCCTGTCAAGTATTCCTTTATCTTTAAAAAACCCCGGATATTTATTTTTTTTTTCAGCATATATTGATGTACAATGTGTTCATAGATACATGTGCGACAGTACATATGAAACTTTACTAAAAGAAAAGAAAGTTTAGAAAATTTTAGGGAATCAGAAGCAAATATTCAGTTCATTTTGGGAAAAATAAAAGATACAAGAAGCCCGCAGGCCTCTATGCTCACTTGAATGGTCATATTTAAGTATATGTATGTCTCCGGAGCCATTTCATTTTTTTCCTTCCCTTAGTACTGTTCTGCAATATCAAACTAAGCCTTAGACATAATAGACAACTGCCTCTTCAATAAAATTCGCATATCTTTTCATTGTTCATCTGCAGAATTATGTCGTTAAAATTCATTCTGATTCTACACACAAGTACTCCGGCGTTGATATTGAAAAGATGCTTGACTTTCTCATTGACAATATCTATGTATAGTTTTTCGTGGCCAGGTCTTCTATCAATCTATTAGAATTCCTTTTGGGTACTTATTGTATCCCGTTATAGTCTCTTGTTGAGGCCTTCAGCTAGACATTTAGATATATCAACGATGTTTTATCAATTAACAAATATTCATTTTCATTCCTACGCTGATTCACTATATTCTATTGAACTTAAAATAAAAGACACCACAGAGTTTAACATATCTGCGCCACATTTGGATATTGTCTCAGAGAGAGATTTTTGATTGCAATCTAACATCTAACTTAAGGGTTTCCATCCCTAATAGGACCTAATTCTCTATTCTTAAATATCCATCACGTATATAATACTCTGATATTAATTCAAAGCATTTTAAAGTAGAAAAGGATTTACCAAGACAAAGTTTCAAAAATGTAATTAACTAAGCAGTAATTAATTAACAGAAATTGCATTGAAGTCTATGGAGACAAGCGATTTTTTTTAAAAATAAAAATTCAAATAATAAGAATATCAATAAATACTGTGGTAGAAAGATGCATGAAATCATTAGAAATAGAATGACAATTGAAAACAATTTTTTACCGTATAGATTTTTTAACATTGATTTTTATTACTTAAAAAAAGAGGGAGATAACTCTTCAACAAAGGTCAAGGTCATATATTAGGACACGTTTCATTCTTACATGCCAGTAGTAATAAATGGGAATTATGTCTAAATATACTGAGTATTTTACCCGTACATATCTGTTATGTATTCAAATTCATTGAATCTGAGGCTATTTGGGATGGAATACCTTAATGATAAATGTGATGACTTCAACTTTTCCATTGTCATATCCCCTTATTTATAAAACAATATTTCGATAGGCAAGAACATGTTCAATTTCTAAAACGAGGCAGACTATATGATGTAGTAATATAAACAATATTGCTGAAAATCAATTTTTCGTTAATTTCTAAGTTCAATACAATAACCTTGTTTTCAAATACATGTACAAACTATCGTTGGTCGAATATTAAAATCTTTCATACAAGCAATTATTTACACACTTAATTGTTTACGGATTTTTCCGTCTACCAGATAATTGCAAGGTGAACACGGCTTGTATGACCGGTGGCAGGGTTGCTTGCTCCTCCATGGCACCTGTTCCCACCTCTGTTTTCAGAGGTCTGTGTTGGCTCTGCACACGATTTATATTGTTCAAATGGACTTTTGAGCATCATAAATGTTCGTAATCTTCACATTTCGTAGAACACTAATAGATTTCATTTCTTGGCCAAAGGAATAGGCGTAATTAATTGAAATATTATAAGTGTTGTTTTGAATATAATTTCTCAATTTGAACCTATTTAAGGATCTACCTGGTACATTATTTTTTGAAGTATAATAGGAAATATTCAATATGCTTCTTCGACCTGCTTCTACGATGAAAAAAAAAATGAATTCATTTGATTTTGACAATATTATAGCAAATGTACACTTTCTATCTAAAATTTGAACCCTGTTTGCGTGCAAAATTTCTGTCTTGTAGCCATAGTTCGAACAACTTCTATTATTTTCCACACCCACTGATTCCGTTATTTGGCACTCCGTATTTTCTTGTTTCAAAAAGAATTCTTAAGATCAAAATGTCCCAATCTTTTCTAGGGGTCATGATGAGGAATAAAATGTGAATCTGAACTTATAGAAAGTTTACATATATATATTTTTTTGGTTTGGTGTCTTATACATGTAGCTTTCAAGAACAGAAGATTTCAATTATTTTCCTAAAATACTATCATACATAGAACCCTGGATAACCTCGTTTGTACCCCAGGATAAGAGGGGGCAAGGTAAAATTAATCTATATGAGTTAAGAGTGTTTGTATAGAAGTTTTTTTTTTGTTTTTTTTTTTCATGATTTAAAGCTTGTCAAATATTTGCAGCTTTGTGAAATATAAGACTTTCAAATTGCACAGGAATCAATCTGCGAGCATTATAAAGCAAAAGTCACTGAAAATTTCGTGATGCAAGTATAAGCATGCCAGTAGCAATTTAAAGCTCAAACTAACAAAATGTAATCAGAATAGTAGTTAACAGTTTAAACTTCAACCCTGTTACTACAAGCCCTTTCAAAAATTCATTTTGTGTCAATACATGTATCTGCCATTATAACCTTATATTTCTCGTTGCTCTTTGTCTTTCGCATTTGGCTCAGTTTCTCACGAGATGTGTTTAAGACTTTTACTCAAATTTCCCTTTAACCTTGGCTTTGTTTTTTTCTACAGAGCTACAACAATGAATTTGCAATTGCATGCAAGCGTAATTAACTCTTCTTTTCCACACTTTTGTTACATTAATATGTCTGTCACTGGCCTCAAATTTCTATATTCTGTGTTTACATTGTAATTACATGTCATCTTCGTACACATAACTGAAAAAAATGAAATTAATAAAGATATTTTTCCTTTGAACCAATCCGCCAGTATTTTAATAGCATCTACACTAAAAATAACAAGAAACTATCATATCCACAAATCCATATCCCACAAATAGAAGTTTCATTATAAGTTAAGCTTTGATTCGTATTTGATTAAATATAAGCAATAAACTCACACTCTAAGATTTGTCTGGTGTTAACTGGTAATTCATATTTAATCTGTATAGTCTTAATCATAGCTTACAGTTGACTTATCTTGCAATTCAAATTAACCTACAACGTGACATTCATGTCCTTAGCTTTGTTATTATTATTGTTTACAGACAGAAAAATCATCCTCAAACACGAGCGCCAATATATTCTGGAACATTTATACAAATGCCAAAAAGAAACAGTGTCATTTGCCCCTTTCCCTGAAGAACAACTGCTTCAAACATCAGAAGAAGAGGACATTTTCAAAATACTTTCTAATTTAATTCTGAAACCAGAATCTGAAATAAAAGATGCAACTTACAAATATCACCAAAACTGTCCAGATGTAAACGTAATAAAGTTTTAAATAAATTCGAGAATAAGCACATGTTTATCTGTTGTTTATTTTTACCTTTTTAAAAAATAATCAAAGAGCAACTTTTGTGTTCATGTGTTTGTATCCAAGCACGATACGAGTTTGTAACACAATAACAATTAATTTCGCAGTTATTTTGAGAAAATTTAATGTTTTTCTTGAATGATAAATTTTGTGAAAAACATCAAAATTGCAACAAAATTTTAAGAAATCTTTTTTCGCTTGCCTTCAGCTGAGGCCAATTTGTGGAATCACCTCTGATCGCTGGAAAGCATACATACAGGAAAACGAAGGAGATTTAGTTCCATTTATCCTGGACGCCATTTGTAACCTATTTAAAGTCACTATCAAAGTATTTTGCATTGTTTCGGAAGAGTTGACAATATTCTACCCAAATGAAGAAACTGAAGAGGAAATTGCCATTGGTCATCGAGGAGGAAAGATGTACGTTCCACTCAAGGAACTCCAAAAAGGTGAGCAACATATTCCATGTTTTGATGACGGAAGTTTTAAATTATTAAACATTCAGGTATCTATAAGCTCTCAAACTGTAATACCTCTATGCATGTAATTACAGTAACTTTTATACCTGCATTGACTATATTGTATACCCCACCATTCTTTTTGTAATTTTTAAACCCTTAAGACTTTTTTGCCGAATTAATTTCCATCTGAAATATTCTATTTTTCTAAATTCATGAAAGATGTGGACATAAAAAAGTTTGAGGAAAAACAAGCTGCCTATCTTCAAATCAACGAGAACTTAGAGAAACTTAGAGTAGAACTGGAGGAAACAAATAAAAATATAAAATCTAACCAAAGTAACATAAAGCGCCTCGAAAAAGCAATAGCAGACTTAAAACGAAGAAGAGAAGAAATAGAAAATGAAATCGAGGAAAAATCTAAACAATATGAGAAAGAAAAGGATAAGGTACAGAAAATCAAGAAAAAAGTACAAGTTTTGAATGAAAAAAGAGTAAAAATGGAAGCGTTCTTAGAACAAGCTGCGGGAGTTGCTGAAGAACTGAAATCCGATTTAGGTGGTCTTGAATTAAGTGATGAAGATCTGACGGAGGACAAAAAAGGAGATGACAAGAAAATTTCGCTTTCTGAGTGTCAGACTCCTGTTGAGCCACCAAGGATAACGTCAAAAAGATTTTCCCGAAACTGCATGAAAACTACAATGTCAACAACCCACAAATGATATCAAAGAAGCAAATCAATACATGTAATTAGTTTTAAGAAAACTATTCTTTGTCGTGAATGCCATTTATTTAATTGAATTTGAAAAACTGTTTGATTTGTTCTTTAACAAATTCACTCTGTAATAAAACTGAAAATTGTTGTCATTATTTATAAAAAGAGGTACAACATGAAGCAAAATGAAACCTTTCCACTCAATGATACAGTTCTCAAAACCATTAATGTCTTTTATGTTCCTTAGTTCTCCTGCCAAACGACTGAGCTTCTTTTTTGTTAAAAGCAGGCAAAAAAAATAATATCATGTAGAAGTGAAATATGTCATTTATTGAATTAAATGACGAAAAGAAGTAAAACATAGTTAACAAAATAGGGGTCAGAAAGGGGGACTCAAATATAGAGTATTACACATCTTAGGCAAAATATTGCACAATCTGCCCCAAGCACCATTTAACATGCTGTACATAGGAAAAAGGGCGATCAACCATACTAGAATAAGAGTTCAAACCCTGTAAACGTTCAAAAGATACAGTATACTTGTATTTCAAGTTGGACTCCTTATAAACATCATAAGATTAAAAAAAACATAAACAAAAAATGCCCTAAATTACTGCCTGCCATCAAAAAAAGGTGGGTAAAACAAAATAACAAATAACCAAATTACAACAAAATAACAAACATTGGTGGCAGATGGGGTGCCTGGTGGGTTTGAGAAATTCAGCAGTTCAATAAAAGCGTGACTTTCTTATTTGGTAAGTAGATCAATAATGATCAAGTGACAGATAAGAGCTTCGCTGATTGGTTGAACCCATTTTCAGCATCATGCCAATGTTGTGGTAATTAATACACTGTACACGTTCACAATCACTATTTTTAACCTCTCTCTCTCTCTCTTCCTCTCTCTCTCTCTCTCTATATATATATATAAATATTCCATACTAAGTAATAAATAGAGGTGTTTTTTGCATTAGTGAGATGCATGACGTCACAGTAGCTGTATCATCTTCCAGGGCTATATCACACCCCTAGAATATTAAATCTTTAAAAATAGTACTTGTGATAATACACCTGTGTTTTGGTTCACATTCTCTCAATTTTCAATTACTGTTCTTTTATAAAATAAGCTACATGTAAGTGCATGGTCATTTAATTGTATTTTTCTTAAGTTGATATGCGCTGTATTTTATGACTAAGTATGTAATAAACATGATAAAATATACCCTTTTCCACATCACATCACATCCTGTATCAGCCCTCGGACCTTCGGCCTTGGTGTATCGGGCTGATACAGAATGTGATATTGAAATTTTCATTGATTTGTCGACAATAATCACGATGGCTTAATGATTGTGGAAAAAAATTCTTAAATCGCAAATAGTAAAATTAAAACAACCACAGTGTATGCTCTTTAACTGTAACTGTATTTTTTCTTTTTGTTACACGGTACAAAGTGCTATATTTCTTCTATTTTGACTCAGTTCCCTGCACCAAGAAGCATATTTCTATGAATCATTTGCTACTACAATTAAAATTACTACCATTTCTATTTTAGTAACATTTCAAATTTTGGATTTTTAATCAATACAATCATGTACATGTATTGAACTATAGCCTATAATTTACAAAGTACTTACAAAATCGGACAACGATAAAAAGGGCAGCAATATTTACGCAGGACAGTTAAGGCTACAAAAATACGGGAAATGTTTACTATGACATCACACAAAATTATCAGTTTTTCAAATTACCACTAAATGAAATGATTTGTTATTTTAAACTATTGGATAGCTTTAAACTACATCAATACTTACTATTGCATGCATTTATGTCGTTGGTTAAATCCCACACAGCAATATATAAACAATTCAATGATCGCAATGCACTTTTCAATGTGACGTCATATCGTAAAATTTGACTCAGTTTGTATGCAGTGAGATGCGGATCAAGTTATATTTCATACAATGAAAAATATATTTTGTAATCAAATTAAATATTATTTGCAGATATATGAGGTCATTAACTTGGATACGACGTCTATTTTATGATTGTATTCATATACTTCCCATACATTCCCTAGACAAACGATACCGCCGTATATTTTTATGCATATTTACTGAAGAGTAATAGAAGGGTGAAATATATTTGGAGATAACGAACAGTATTCAAGCTCAAAAGTCCATTCAAACAATACAAATCAAGAGCACAGCAAGCACGGACCTCTAAAACATCAGAGGTAGGATCAGGTGCCATGGAGGAGTGAGCATCCCATGCCGACTGGTAACACTCGTTGTGTGATCCTTGTCATAATCAGGAAATAACGGGAAAGCCGGTCGACAATTCAGTGGGTAAGTAATGGCCTAACAATAAAAGATGAAAGACGTCAGTCAGCATTTGACTTAACGATAGATGGTATTTGCTGACAAGGTCATTATATCGACCATAGAATTTACGAAATTATAACTTTAAACAAGACTGTTGATATTCTTGTTTCATCAACTTGTTTGTAAGTAACTTACCTGGTTTAAAAATTGTTCATACATAGTGCAAACTCTTGCCTATCGAAAAAACAGAGATATAAACCCTACATGTATATGTAGGTGATGAGGCTTTATTGCTGCATAAGTAAGGAACGTTGACGATTGAAAAGTTAAAGTCATCACGTTTATCAAAAAGCTTTGTTGTTCTAGTAAAATACGTAAGGGTCTTCATAAATCGATTTACTGCAAGGGCATACCCTCAATGGATTATGACAAGCTTTTACACATACATTCAAGAAGTTTGAAAAGTGCTGCGAACCTGATGAAATCTTGCAAATGAATAATTAATTATATCTATACTTACTGTACTTGACAAGCAAAATATTCAACATACGGTCTAACAAATGTAATTTTAGCAATTAAATGGTAGAATCTATATAGGTTCGCAGCACCTTTCACAAAGTACGAAGAGTGTTGAAAATAATTTTAAATTAAACTTAGATTTTCTACTAGGTTATACCCTTGCAATATTGGATTTTATAGATGACCTAAATACTGCCCAAACTATATCGTACTTTTTGACTGAAATTTTTCTGAACAGGAGGTCATCAGCAAGTTATTTTTTCGTCAAAAGAAGGGTTTTTATAATGTCTAAATAAAAATTCCTACTGTTATCAATAATAATCAAACTATTGACTTGATTTGTACTTCTAAAAATCATCGTTGTTTGAAATTTAAAAAAAAGAAAAGAATCTTTTTCTGCATACTCTGTTGAAACAAAAATTATTTAGATTTAAATCAAATCTTTGAAGATGCTTAGTTCAGTATGGTTTATTGTTTTCAACACCCATGGTTAAGTTTGATCAGATTACAATATGTTCTCCGAAGCATATTTAACAAAGATAAATTCAGTTCAATCCAGATCTGTGTGTAATACCGTGACATTGAACTTGTCATCTTCTCTGATAACATTCATTATTACATATGTATGTTTTAATGCAGAAAGAAACTAACTGCAAAAACACTTTTGAATTTATATATAGCTTTTATAATCCCTGTCTGGTAACAGAGGTTCGGAGTTTTGGTAGGGAGGAGGAAAGAATTACAAGATTTCCAACAATAAGGTTTGAATAATGGAATTCTAATTTTTTAAAATGGAAAAAATGGAAATTACTTTTCATAGTTATTTTTAAAGTAAGCTTTCATGATCAGCATGTTAAATGTACACGCACCCCTTACATTTATAACTGAAGAGATTTACTAATGATTTACATTAACCTCATTCAAACTGAAAGCGATCGTCATCGAAAGCTTTTAACATAAATAAACCCGCCAGTAATGGACAAATAAACTTCGTTTGATGTACATTGTATTTTTACTATAGCAAAACATATCATACACACCTTTCTCGAGATAAAAGTTGTCATCTGCGTTGTCTTTTCACTGGTTATCATTTAGTAAAATAGCTAACAAGGTCATTACGTTCAGATGTTTGTTCATGTACATATGTTTACTTGCTACATGAATTTCGATGTCAATGTGTAGGTCTTTCAACTGCCGCTAGGGTTCGACGAAAAGAACGATAACTCATTACCAGAAGGTGTTTACAACTGGTCCGAGGTAGCTAATTGTTTTTAAGTATGTTTTCCAAGTCTCCCTTCACTGCCAGTGGAATCTTATTGTTTAAAAATTCAGTACAAATGGTAAACGTATTTATGATGTTGTTAGAGACACTGTACAATGATATATAATTAAAAATTTTTAATAAAAATATAAAGTGAAATCAAACCCCTTTCTTAATTTTAACCTGATTAAAATTTTATCGTTCTTCTTTTTTACTTAGTAAAAAGAATAAGATTATGAATTATTGCATTTAATTGTAGAAATATATATCCTTATGGAAGAAGGACAACAATGCACACACCAAAATATTACATTATATTTTTTTCTTCATTACAACTGTCATAGAGAGTTATAAATCACGAATGTAGTCCGTTTCCTATTCATTTTGATCCCGTTATTCCGGGTAGAATGAAGACATTCTCATTGTTTTGGTCAACTCTTTTGTAAACACAATAATACAAGGAACCTTTTTGTGTACATAATAATACCCATTGAAGCAGCTTATATCATTCCTATAAACGATAACTCATAAATCGGCAATTTGTGGATCGTTTTTCACACTTGAGTTACCTGTCCTGAAAACACAACATCGTGCAAATCAATTGATAATAATTAAAAATTTTTAATCATTTAATTAGATGTATGTTAAGATTCTACTCTGAGAATTTCACGTACCTTTAAACCTATCTATCAAATGTTTTTACGATGTGTGCAACTTGAAAAATTAGTCGAAAGGCCTACAATGTGATTAATATAATTTATTTATTTGGTTATTATTGTCATTTTACGTTATTGAAATAATTGAGAAATAAGTAGGTAAGACAGAAAAAGATATAAGTAAATATTGAAATGTGTCATATTATGACCCTAAATTTGTATTTAGAAATAAATCATTTGATTAAGG